AATCCTATAAAAAATTTTAAAAAAAACTTTGATGAAATAAAAATTAGAGTAAATTATTTACACTTTTTAATATTGTGTTCAATAAACAAATTTTGTGTATTATAAAATCATATTATGATTGTGAGAAATAGAGACACTTTTTTGAAAAGCCACACAATCTCCGGTACACAAAAAAATATATGAAAACAGACACGAAAGCCACACATCAATTAAAACGAAAATGTATTAAAATTCATCTGAAAGTAAGATCCAGTCAGTGGTGTTACATCCTTTAGAACTGCTCTTAGAAGATATTAGAGGGTATGTTGTAATTTTGCAGTACAGCCAATGGTGGATACGATGTATTTTAGATGTAAATATAAACTACGAAGAAGNTATTTGGGCGTCTGGCGTGATTTTGAAGAAACTTTTGTTTTGTCTTGTAAAAAAGTTGCGTGAAGTGATAAATACGTTTGGAGTTTGCTTAGTTTCATTTGAGCAAGTGCTATATATATATATATATATATATATTCAAAATGAAGATAAAACAAAGGAAAATTACAGATTAATGAAAAAAGGGGGGAAAAGAAAATTAATAATAAAAATAAAAATAACAAAAACTGGAGGTAAGAAAAAGGATAGAATTCTTTTAAAAAATCCGGTGGATAAAAGATATAATCTTTTCATTAGCCCACACGATTATATCCTCAAAAAAGAGTGCTTTCTAATATTGTATCAATATAGCCAAAGCAAAATATATCAATACAATAGTGTGGGGAGCACTTCTTCGTGTTTTTTTGTATTTATTTATTATGCTATATATATAGTTAAAAGTGCGTTTGTAAGTGCATAAAAGCATAAAACAGTTAACAAAATATTAAATTAAAGAAAATCAAATTTAAATCGTAAATATTATTCTTAGTAAGCTGAAAAATTAGGGCTACAAACTGGGTCCGCCACAAAAAAAATCTTAAAAAGAAAGTGGGTAGATTGCAAAGGAACCTCGTTATCTTGGGCTTTGTGTTTAGCTAGAGTAGCAAACAAAATGTTTATTTAATAATCAACTTAATTTTGATACAAAAAAATTTAAAGTATAGTTTTCACAACTTTTCTATTTAGATTTAGTTTTTTAAACCACCCTTAAGAATATGCATTGATTTGATCTTGGTTTTAACGCAACTATTTCGCTTTAAATGTTTAGCGAAAGCAGAGGTTATTCATCCAAGGTCGTAAAAAGTAAAATATTTCACTTATAATAAGCACGGGAAGTTCAACTTAGCTCGGAGCTGTGTCATTTGATTTTATCAAGTCTTTAAGCATGTTGGCAACGAGACGCAAATAGAAAATTTATTTCTCAATTTCTATGTTTCACAATGAGAATGGACTATCGAAAAGATGTATTTGTTTTATTGAATGATAAATGGAGAAAATAATTCTCGTAAAATTACCGCAATGTATTGTAATGACATTTCTGGCAAAACAAATATAACTATGGTTAGTATAAGTTAAAACATTTCTGGTTAATAAACTTCTGCATATATGATATTAAAACCACTCATTTGGAAATTTTTCCAGAAATTCTAGTTCATAAAATTATAGCTCTTATTACTATGCATTTTGTAAAAAAAAAGCAAAATTTAACTCAATAAATGGCTTTTATGCCTTATGGTTCCCTTTCTACAGGGTATCATGATAAAATTATCGCACTTAATATTTTTTTCGCATATTGTAAAGCCATATTTTAATGATAATTTTACCAAAATCATTACCAAAGCTCTTCGGTAAAAATTACAGAGCTTTTTGGTGTTTCCCTAAAGCCAGAAACACGTTAAATGTTACCCTATTCTTGCCGTTTTGACTGAATTTTTTTCTCAAATTTTTCATAATCAAAATTTACGTTTATAAAAAATACTTTATTCATGATAAATAACGTTTATTATTATTACATTATTGTTATTAAATATTATTATTTATTAATATTATTATTTTTCATTAATATTAAATTATTATTATTTATTATTATTATTACATTATTATTTATTATTATTATTACATTATTATCTATTATCATCATTATTACATTATTATTATTTATTATTATTATTACATTATTATTTATTATCATCATTATTACATTATTATTATTTATTATTCTTATTACATTATTATTTATTATCATCAATATTATATAATTATTATTTATTATTATTATTACATTATTATTTATTATCATCAATATGACATTATTATTATTATGTTTGTTATTAGCGTGTATTTTATTTACCCTTTTTACAGAATAGTTTAATCTTTTCATTGAAACCTTTTTTTAAATACATTGTTGAAATTAAATGAAATTTACCAAAGTTTAAGCTGTATTTAAACAACAATAATTTTAATTTAAAATTAACTTTTCTTTAGAAACAAATAAAAGGAAGAAAAATTTTAAATTTAAAGCTATGCTATTATATCAATCCCACGTCCCAATTTTCAAATTTTTAGTGCTAAATAAATTTCGATCTCTTAACTTTAAACATTTCAGTGCGTATCAGACTAATTTCTAGATTGCAATATTAATGCTTATTCATCTGCTTATAACATTCCTCTTTACTTTTCTACATTAAATAAACTTCCAAACGTAAAAGAATGTCTTTTTGCAATACATGGAATACTAAATGCTTGTTAAATTTAAGGAATTTTTGATGCAAGAAAAAATTGAAAAACTGCTATTGAAATTGAAACTGCATGTATTAAGCAGTTTATTTTTACATTTAAGTATTTTTGAGAAACATTTAATTTTCAGTTTAAATAAAGTGTAATTTTTTTAGATTATTTTAAATGGAAATATTTATTTAATTTAATCCATTATACTTTTGCATTCACAGTTTTTATGCGTGTTTGACATTTCTAACAGATATTAATAATTATATGGAATGTCATAAATCATTGTATAATGAAAATATAAATATTTTTGTTTATTATTATACTTTTTATGCAAAGTTGTTTGCATTTTTTTAGACTTTTGTAAACTTGTAATTGTCGAAATTGTCGTTTTTTAGACTTTAGACTATTGTAAATTTTAAAGGCAATATTTTTTTTTAAAATATGTGCAATACTTTTATTAAATATATTGGGGAAAAACATATTTGCATTTCTAATTCAGAACATAGTGAATTATTTAACCATAAATGTCTCCAATTTTAGTTTTCTATTTCTTTTTATATTATTTCAATGTAACAAAAAATAATAATAACAGTTATTTAACTTTTTTAAGAATCGAAGTTTCCATGAAGTTTGTCACTTTTCCTCGACCTTTATTACCCAATTAATGACATTTAAATGATTTTAAAGATATTACAGTTTATTTTTAGGGTAGTTTTATAAGTTATAGCAATTAATTTTCCTTGAATTTAAATATAGTTTAATTTCTTAGTTCAAATATTGATCAGATGAAAGTTTAAATTTTACGAAATTTGTATTTTAAAGAGAAAATGTTTATTAAGCCTAATTTAGTACACATTATTTATTATAAACTCACTTAAATAATTTTAAGATACAATTAATTTCAAATAAAGTAAATAAATAAACTAAAAGTTTAAAATTGCTAGTCGTACTGCATATTAAAGTCTGTTTTTTTTATTATTTTAACTTAACGTTAAAAAGAAATTATATATGAGAATATTTTTAATAATAATGTTCTAATTATTTAAATACAATTTTTTTCAAATTGTTTTATTTATAATTATTAGTAAAAATCACAATTCAAGTTACTTACAGGGAGGAAAAAATCTGAAAAAATAATTTCACTTAGGAATTTCTTATGAATATGAATAAAATGCATTCGCAATCGGTAGTAATATTTACAGAACAATTGTTTGGAGAATAAATCAATTATTCAATATATTTGCAACTGAAATTTTGCGGAACAAAACGGTGAAATCGCTTGTAATTTTAAATTTCCGTTTCTGGAATACTTTTTTAGATATAGAGATTATTTTTATTAAATTTTAACATATTGCTGTACTTTATCTCAAAATATATGAGATATCTCCTTAAAATATGGAAAATTATTAATTATTTTGGAGAAAAACATTTTGAAAAAAAACACCTACAACATTTGAATAATATATTCTGAGATTATTTTTAACCTCAGACTATAAAAAGTCTCCAATCAAATATTAACAAATCATTAATTACACTGGGAAACAGATTTCATTTTGCATTTATGCAAATACTTGATCTTGCCCAGTTCGAATGTGGGAATTTCAATTCTCGAATTAATTTTGCTTATAAAGCTATAGAATTTTTTAAAATGATATTTTAGTCTATTTTTGTTTAAATGTACAAGTTTAAATACATTATATATAAAAGAAAGTTGCATAAGTATTGCTTCTAGGGGAATTAGGGCACATCATCTGAATTAAAATTGCATATTAATCAATACCCAGAAATGCTTACGCAGCTCACTTACCTATTATGTCAGGTTCAGAAGTAGACAAAAAAATAGTCTAAAATAGGGAAGCTTTCCTAGCGGCGTATAATGAAATTTTTGGCCATGGGCTCCTATGTTATTTAAACCCGATGATGTGCTCCAACTCTCTTAAAAACTTATTCCAATAGTTATGTGATCGCCCATTATATGTAACTGATTTAATCTTGTACATTTTGAAAAATAATAGACTAAAAATATCATTTCTGAAAATGTAGCTTGAAGTGAGAAGCCTATTGCAAATTTGAATTCAGAAACATTAAAGTATCTGAGATCTGTTTTAAAAAAATTAAAAAAGAATTTTCTGTTTAAAAAAAAAATTCCTCAGTTTTACTTTTGAGGAGAACTTAAAACAACACTTACAACATCTGAGAACTTATTACGACTAATGCAATGGTAATGTGATTTTAATGCATATCGCATTTACCACAATAAAATATTTAAATAATTACAATGAATAAATTGTTGCAAATATAACAATTGTATTAAAAGTAAGGATAAATTTTAATCAAAAACAATGTGTTTAAAATTTTAGGGCACTGAAATAGTGAAATTAGCAGTTTACTATGAATCATTGTGTCCAGACAGTGATGTGTTTGTTCATGACCAACTCGCACCTGCTTACGAGAAAGTACCTGATTACTTAGAAGTGGAACTCATTCCATATGGAAATGCTCGGGTGAGTAAATTCTTTATCTAAATTACATTTTATTATATTTTTCGCTGATTTCCTATTTCTCTACAACTTTAAATTTTCCCGATTTTCTGTTTTATCTCTTGGATATGAGATTAAGTTTTTTTTACTATCATGGCAACACAGCTCATCTTAAAACCATTTTCTTGCACTCATAAGTTGATAAGCAATTTCTTCTTTTTTGTAAAATTTTTGTTCAAAGAATTGATATAATTTTTACTCTGATTTCGCATTTAGCACTTTCCTAATAAAATTTGAGGGATTCTTTGAAGTTTTGTAACGACTGTTTTCCTGTTTGTTACCTTTTGCGTTGTGGTTTCCACGACAATTTATCCATAAACAAAAATTTTCAAGAAAGTTTTGTTTAGAAAATAGTTAGTGATGTATTATTAGGAAGGCTTTTATAGCAGATTAACCAGTGAGAGATATTTTGAATTTGAAAATTCAATAACAATAACTGACAATACTTATTAATCGTCACATTTTATTAATTTTAAACAATTGATTATGCTTTTAGAATTGATAAGTAATAAAGTTAATTATTTTCAAGTGAGTCCATTAATTTTGATATCATTATAATTAATTTTAATTAAAAAGTATTTTATGCTTAATAAAAGTTATTTTTAGCTCATCTGATTGGACTTTAATCTCATGAATTTGAACATTATTCACTTTTATGATTATGTCAGATTTTGATTAACTTCAGGTCTCCAGAATATAAAAATTCTTGAAAAAATTACAAGCGTTTCCTAATATTTATTCTCGTCGCATTAATGGCTTTATCTTTAATTGAACACAAAATACTAAAAGTACTTGAACTTAAAATGAACTCGGAATTTTTATACCATATAATTCAATATTTGAAGGATTGTTATTTCAAACTTCAAGCGTATTTTAAACTGTATTTTGTGCATGAGTTTTTAAAAGTTAGAAAATTCACATGAAAGGAAGATTTTAAAATGTTGTTAATGTATTCCAGTGGAGTGGAAAACCAGGCAGTTACAAATTCTCTTGTCAACATGGAGAAGAAGAATGCTATGGAAACACAGTTCAAGTAAGTAATAACTAAAAAATTTAAATGTGATTTAATTTTTAAAAAATATAATAAAATTGTAAAACCTTACAATTAGAGGTTTTGTTTTCATTAGACTAACACAAAAATTTCCTGCACAAGCATTTTAAATGTTCTTTATTTACTACAATTTCAAACAAGGAAAGTATGTCCTTCCAATTCATGATGAATTTAATATTCTAATATTTAATGTCCACATTCAGATTTTTCTATTCTATGTTTGTTAGAACTAGATTCTGATAACTTACAATATGTTGCTATAGATTAATTTGTAACTCAAGTGCCTTGAAAGTCGTTAATACTTTAATCAAGCAAAAAAATGAACACACTGTTATTCAGTAAACAGTTCTATAGCGCCTTTTTCTTAAATCTTTTTCCATTTTTAAAATGTGCTTGTTGGTTTTACAAATTTTGAATCTAATTCAACACTTTAATTTGAATAAAAAATCTGCCGTTCTAATAAACAAAACAAAAAAACAAAAATAAAAAGTAGTATTAAAGTATGAGATGACTATAATCGTAAAAATAATGCAAACCATTTTTAAAATACATTTCTCGCGAAGATGCAATCAGTGTTTGACTTCTAAAAATTAACTCGCTTTTCACACTGAATCAGATATCATAAACATTGCAAAAAGTTTAAAAGAAAAACACACAAAAATAATGAACTAAATGAAAGAAAAGCATTTTTTTTTTTAGATTGTTTGACATTCTACAAATAACTTTTTTTCCAACTTCTTTTATGGAATTTTACATTTGCCTGATTCTTTATTACATTCCTGACTTTTCACAAATGAAAAAACTTTATGGCTTTATTTTGTCTGTAGACACTCTGCACAATGCATTTCTATACATTTCAACACTATCTTTGCTAGCACACTGCATAATGATAAGTTATCAGTCATAACTAATAAGTCATCAATAATTTTACATGACTGTCATATTTATCAATATCACGCATTTAAACTTTATTCTTTCAGGAACGTCACATGACTTTTGCTGAATATTTTACAATTAATTCATAAACATTTTAAGTCTATCCTTATAGTTACAAAATGTAAGCATCATCAATTATTTCTCCAATCATTATTTAATTTATTTAAACTCACAATGTAACAGTTACACATTATTTTTTTCTTCTCCATACATTTAAAGTCTACTGTAGTCGCACATTGTGTTAAAATTATCAATTATTTTACCAATTATTTTATATATATATAAACTCTATTCTTCAGATATACTACTATATAACAGTTGCACATTATTTTACAATTCATTTCCATGCATTCAAAGTTTATTCTTGTAGTCTTACATTATGTAACAATTATCAATTATTTCACCAATTATTTTCTATGTATTTAAACTCCATTCTTCAAATATACTATATAACAGTTACATATTATTTTACAATTCTTTTCCTTAATATCAAAGTTTATTCTTATAGTCGCACATTACGTTAAAATTCTCGATTATTTCTCTAATTATTTTCTATTTATTTAAACTTTATTCTTCATATATACTATAAAACAGTTAAGCATTATTTTACAGTTCTTTTCCATGCATTTAAAGTCTATTCTTATAATCACATTATGTAAAAATTATCAATTATTTCTCCAATTATTTTCTATTTATTTATTCTTCAAATATTACTATGTAACAGTTATCAATTATTTTACAATTTTTTAACAATTCTTTTCCATACATTTAAGATCTGTCCTTTTAGTCATATTACGCAAAAATTATCAATTATTTCTCCAATTATTTCTATTTATTTATTCTTCAAATATACTATGTAACAGTTATCAATTATTTTGCAATTTTTTGACTATTATTTTCCATACAATTAAAATTGGTCCTTATAGTCATATTACGTAAAAATTATCAATTATTTTTCCAATTATTTTCTATTTTTTAAACTCTATTATTCAGATATGCTATGTTACAGTTTAAAAAGGCTAGGTTACACTTTGTGCTACCTAAACGAAAGCCAAAAACGTGAATAAAGCTAAATTTCCGCACTTTCATTTGTGCTTTATTCACGTTGAGTTTCATTTTATTTATTTATTTATTTATTTTGCTTTATATTACTGTTGACAATTCTTTTAAAACTTATTTGAATGCATTTAAATTCTGTTCTTTCAGGCATGCTATACGGCACTCATAAATAATACTGCGGACCAAATCCAATTCGTTAAATGTGCCTTTGACATTAGAAGACAAAGTCATGCCGTTGAAAGGGTATGTATTACGATATTTGAATCTCATTTTAGTTTCCAAACTGTATCTTTATTTCTATAAAAGTGAAAATAAGAAGTGGTTTCTTATGTTAAGATCTATGTTCCTACTATGCCCACCTGCATAAACGAATCAAACTTTACAGATAAAACAGTTTTTTATAATAAAAAAAAATTATTTGATACAACCGCACCAACCACAGTAACAAAGGAAAAATAAATTGAAATACCCGTAACGGGTTAGCATAAACCTTGCAAAAATAAAATGAAATACCCGTAACGGGTAAGTAGTAACCTGGCAAAAATAAATTTAAATACCCGTAACGGGTTAGCATAAACCTTGCAAAAATAAAATGAAATACCCGTAACTGGTAAATATTAACCTTGCAAAAATAAATTGAAATACCCGTAACGGGTTAGCATAAACCTTGCAAAAATAAAATGAAATACCTGTAGCAGGTTAGTATAAACCTTGATAAAATCAATTGAAATACCCGTAACAGGTTAGTATAAAATTTGCAAAAATCAATTGAAATACCCGTAACGGGTTAGCATAAACCTTGCAAAAATAAATTGAAATACCCGTAACAGGTTAGTACAAACCTTGAAAAAATCAATTGAAATATCCGTAACTCTGTAGTATAAACCTTGCAAAAATAAATTGAAATATTCCTAACTGGTTAGTATAAAACTTAAAATACAAACAATAACGATTCACAACAAAAACCAACTAACTCTCCAACGTTCCTAAAATTGTCTCAATCTTTTCAATTTTTTCCTGATCTCGTTATTTGTTTTTTAATTCATGCTTGTGTTAAAAAATTTTTTAGAGATATAATATGCTTTTATAAGTTGAGTTTACGACTATTCTTTTTATTTTTATATACACTTTTCTTTTCAAAAACAGATTTTTATATACCTATGAATTCTTTGGACAAACGTGGATAATTTTTATAGAACCGAAATTTCTATTTTTATACTTTTTTACATAGAAATTAACATTCTGTGCTTGTTTGCTTGTAAAAAAAAATAACTCAACGTTTGATGCAAATATCTTAAAGTTGCTTTAAAGATTAATTTTATACCAAAAACAAATATTTTTTTACTCACAAACAATTGTAGTTATCAAATAAAATAATTTTTCCTCTTAAGTTATTTCTAATCAGAAATCGTTTTTCCTTCCTTGTTTATAGTCATTATTAGAGGTTAAGTAATTTTTGTTAAGAATTTCATACAGACATTTTAAAAAAATTATCTGTGCTAAAAATCTCAAAAATCAGCATGAATTCGCGTTTTTAATGAAGCTCTTAATTGAAAACGAAAGACAATAAATTAATAACATGTTCTGTATATTATTGAAAATATGTCTTACTTGTTTTCCATAAACTGAGAAAAAATTCAGGTAAAATTACCGCACTGCATGACATTTCTGGTAAAAAAAAAGGCCATAATTCTGGTTAATAAAACCAAAATATCCGGTATGTAAACCAGTTGTTAACGGTTTACCGAAAAGTTTGGGTTTCAAAATTTCAAAAAATATAAAACTGAGAAGTAAATTTAACCAATTAATTGGTTTTTACTTATGTTCTAAGGTACCATGATAAAATTAGCATATTTTACCCCTTTTACCAAATTTTTTCAGTTATTATGAAATTACATTTTATTGTTAATTTTACAATAATCATTACCAAAGGGCTTCAACAAAAATTACTAAAACTTGTGACATTCCCGTAGGGCTGGAAACAAGATAAATTTTACCACCTTCTGGTAATTTTGACCATACTTTTTTCTCAATGTATGTTTTCCTGTGAATAATAAAAAAATATGTGAATGATTTAAAAAATTACTCAAATGATATACTAGTATATTTTTTAATCATCTGTTTTTTAATTGTGTCCAAAAAAGTGTTCTAACTTCTGAGTTTCATTCTACCAACAAAATAATAAACTCTTAACGTTCTCCCTAACTTAATCGCAGAATGCTATTGTAACTTATTAATGATTCAATTAGCTTTTCATTCTAACACACGATTGTCTTTTTAAATAATTATTAGAAAAATAAATCAAGATTTTGTTCAGTTGAAAAGGTCCTTGTATTAGCTGTTTTATTTATTCCTCGTCATCTATTTAAAATCGAATTTTTTTTCCTTTTAATTATGATTTTGTAAGCATACTCTCTTTAACAAATTAATCTATGCTTTTGATTTTTGAATCAAAACTTAACTTTCAAATAAGATTCGAAATATATTCTCTGAAACACGGTGCGACGCAAAATATCGGATTTTTTGACTGAACTGCTAGTTGAAAAATCTATAACTGCGTTTCAATTTAATAATAGTATTTCAGTACAAAGCATTCGAAATAATTTATAATATCATGACTATTTATTTCTTATCATAGTGTATCAAAGATCTTGACTTGCGTCGGCAAGTGAAGAAATGTGTAACAAGCACGATGGGAAACAATCTGCTATACCAGATGGGCAAGAAAACAGATTCCCTGAATCCACCTCATACCTTCATTCCTTGGATTACAATCAATGGAGTAAGGAAAATTTATATTCATGGTCAAAATGCAACTACTATACTAACTTACACAGTCATTGTTTATTTTTGGCGATTTTTACTCAATGATTTAAACTAGAAATTTCTTTGTACTTCTGAAATATTGCAGAGGATCAATCAGTATAATTATGAAACATTAAAAAGTAGCTATGTACTTCTGAAATACTACAGAGGATCAGTCTGTGCAAATGTGAAACATTAAAAAAGTAACTATGTTCATCTGAAATACTAGTGAGGATCAGTCTGTGCAAATATGAAACGTTAAAAAAGTAGCTAATATAAGGCACTCAAAAAATAAGGTAACTAATATTAATTACTCAAAATATAATGGGGCTCGCGTATATATACTTAAACTAAAAGGGCCAGCGTGAAACACTCAAAATAATATTGGCGGTTAAGAATACTTAAAATAATAGGATCATTGTGTAAGGTCTCATAAGTCTCAAAATAATGAGATTAACATGAAACACTCAAAATAAGGGGACTAATATGAAACGATCAGAATAAATGGAACTAATAAAAAAAGCACTGAAATTAATAGGGCTATTGAGAAACAGTCAAAATAACAAGGTTGCCAATTTCTATGTTTTTTGCAAAATATTTATAGAGTGGTGGGGAATTAAAAACTGAAGCCTTTAGAATGCTTGGTAATTTAGACAACATTGAAAAATCCCTACCGAGAAAGAGCTGGATTGAAATGAAGTTTCATATGATTTTTATAATCATTTTCATGTAGTGGTGTGGAAAATAACTTTAAATCAAATTTACAAAACAAATAATCATATATTAGAACATAAACATAGCTATCACTATAAGATATTTTCACAAAAAGCGTTGGAAGTTAGCACCCTTGAATTAATACGGATAATGTGAGACACTCAAAACAACGAGGCTAACATAAAACACTCAAAATAAAGTTAAAATTATTGAAAAACAGCCAATTTTTAGTGTTATAACAAACATGTTATGTTATAAATTACAGTTTAGGCTTACTTTGTAAGAAGCATCTCACTTTATTTATACATATTACAATTGTATTCAAAATGTAAAAATAAAAATTCATAAAGAAATCATCAAATGATTATCATCTTTTTCCCAATAAAAAGTTTTCTGGAAAAGAAATTAGGATGGTTTCTATTACTGTACAACACTTATTATCATGCAGCAATAATTTCAGAAAATTATTCTAAAGATTTTTCAGAAAGGTTTGGCTCATAATTTAAATTATAATAACGTTGAATATGTTAAACATAGCTTGAACTCTTAACTATCAAAGTTAGAGTGCTAATATGAAACTTTGTTTGCACTAATGTAAAACGCTCTTAGAAATTTTTTAACAGTTCTAATTTTATTTTCATTCAGTTTTTTTAATTATACTTGGATAAACAAAATAAATTCACAAATTACACAGAGTTCTATATTTTGGTTCAAATTAGAAAGATATTTGCCAGAAAAAAACAAATATTAATCTACCTAATTAAAAATCAAATTCAATATTCGATATCGAATCTATATCTAAATTAAACATCAGAAAAATAAGAAGAAACCGCATGGTGTTCTTATATAAATATTTCTTAGGAAATGTTTTTCTTTTTTTTCTCATTTTTATCATAAATTATTATACAGTAATATTTATATTGGTATTTATTTAATAAGAGAGATTCCTTTATTTGACGGTAGTTATAATTATAAAACTAAGTTGAATGAGATGAGCCGGGCATGTAGTGAGAATGAGCCCAGAACAAACAGCTATCAGAGTCTTTAATGCAACCCCCTCCAATAAAAGGCCAATAGGAAGGTCCAAAAATAGGTGAAAAAACTGTGTGGATTAGGATTTTGAAATCCTAAAGGTAAAGAACTGGAAAAGAATTGCTGGAGGAAGGGCAGAATGGGAAACGCTTCCGAGGAAGGCCCAGGCTCACAAAGGGCTGTCGTGCCAATGCTGATGATGATGATAATTATAAATTAGTCTTTTTGCACCGTAACATGTTCCGGTGAAAACGGGGTTGGGTAAAGAAGTTAAGTAACGGTACTTTCAACCAGAGTCTTTAGTGTGGAATTGTTCATTCCAGCAATTCATTAAGCGTTCATTCTTCGCTGAATGAAAAAATTCATTAAAGCTGACTAAAATGCGCTAATTTATACATTACATAGTCTGACACATATTTAATTTATACATTACATAGTCTGACATATATTTAATTTGTTTCATTTATTTGAAATCTTATCTTAATTTTTATTTTAGCGAGGTGGACAAAACTTAAATGACCTGGCAAATCACAACTTAATGAACGTTATCTGTGAACAACTATCTGTAAGTGTTTCTTTGTATTTATCTAGTTTATCAGTAGTATATATTTCCAAAGATTACTAGTATGTCATTAATAAAAATAATAGTTTTTATTTTATGCATACTCGGGGTCGTTAAATTAAGATTAGCACAAAATGTTTACGCAAACAATTTTGCTCTAAAATAATGCTGAAACAAGCATTTATTAGGATTTTTACTGTTGATTCAAAATAACTGCAAAATAAGGGCAGAATAAGGAAGATACTGAATAACTTTTGTTTTAATGATCAGATTTTCTCAAGCTATGTGCAGATCATAATGGTTCTGAGGATTGATCTCAAATATGCTAATTAATTAGTACTAACTATTTAAGCTGAAAAATCAGCTACAAAAGTGTGCTTTCTCTGAAAAATGTAATTTTTTTTTTTTTTTTTTTTTGCTGGATCTGGATTTTTAGTTATGAAAATTGGAGGAATGCAAAAAAAAAAGCGTATTTTCACGTATCCACGAAATTCATGAAAAAAATTTGTTTAAAAAAGTAAACTGTAATTTTGGTTAATAAAACTAAAATATACGGCCTTTAAACCATCCATTTGGTAATTTCTCTGTTCATTATGGTACATGTTTACCGGTAATTCCAATTATAAAATTGTTGATAAAATTTTATTTCTTTATATTCAAAATTATAGTTCTTTTTATGGCACTTTTAGTAAAAAAATACAAAACTGAAAAATAAATTTAACAGAGAACCATGCTGGTTTTTATGCCATGCTCAAATATATAATGATAAAATTACATTTACTAAATTTTATCACAGGTTATAAAGTCATATTTTATAGCTAACTAGGAGGCTCCGCCCCCTGCTCGCTAACGCTCGCCAACCCCCGAGAATTGCTACGCAATCCTATGTGGTTCACGCCGTGAACCATGGCTCGCTGCGCTCGCTCGCCAATGAACACAATGTTCTAGCACAAAGACATAATATATTATCATCAAAGACATAGTATTTTATCATCAAAGACATAGTATTGTACTTATGTAGAAGATTTCTACCAATGTTCTTATTGGCTTTTAAAAAAGTATATTAGCTATTTAGATTGTACATGGTGAAAAAATCAAAACATTAGCTATATAAGAAACATATTAGCAAAATAAATTATCAAATATTGCTTCACTAATATTCTGCATTTTAAAGCGTGAAAATTCAATGCATAAATAAACGCGAAATATAACAAAAATTCAATGCATTCAATACAAACACTTAAACGTTTTTTAAACGTTTAGGTAGCTCCCAGTAGAAAAATATCAATTCAACAGCGGCCTTTTAAAACATTCTCACTTCAATTAATTAATTAATTCCTAATTGAGTTTAAATTAAATATTGTCATGTTTTTAGTGCATGAATCTGAATTGAACAACCTGATAATGCTCACTGTGGTTATTGTTATCTGGTTGCTCACGACGTGCTCTTGCGCGCCGAATCTAATCAATTAAAAATGAAAACTGTTGCCAGCGCGAGAAAAGAAATATCATCGGTTTTATTGATACATACATACGTACGTATTAGCGTTTTATATAATAAGATTTTACCAGAATCATTACCAAATCACTTTGGTTAAAATTATCGAGATTTTTGTGTTCCCCTTGAACAAGAAACACGGTAAATTGTATCATAATCTGATAGTTTTGTCTATACATTTTTTCTCTGATACCTTTCTTTTAGATTTCAATTGGGTTTGTGTTTTGATTACTTTCTGATACGAAATGTGTTATAAAATCTAAATTAGTTTTACATTCAGCATTGACAAGAAACATAAATTTATTCTACAGTGGCGTGTAACGGTTTTAAAAATGAAATAATAATTTTTGGTCAACAAAGGCTTCTTTTGACGCGTTTTTCATAAATTTCTTCTTAAAATAGTGAAATTCAGATCACATTATTTATAAACACAAACTATTTAAATTTCGAAAACGTCGCGTATTATGAAAATTTATATGAAAGTCTGAATATGATTTTCAATTTTAAGCATTTTTCAAATTTAAATGTTAGTATTTTTCAGCAATAAAAAAATACTATTAAAAGCATTTTAAGTCCCGAACACATAAATTAAAATGTATTACTGAAAATGCTATGTATATTGATAAATAAGATATCTTCCATTTATGGATGTTAAAATATGATGCTAAAATAGTGAATAAATATCATGTAAAAATAATGAAATTTGGAGCACATTATTGATAAACACAAACTATTTCAATTTCGAAAACGTCACGTATTATAAATATGTATATATAAAAATCTTAATATGACTTCAATCTTCAAACTTTTTTCAAATTCGAATGTTAGTATTATTCTCCTATAAAAAATGCTATTAAAAGCATTTTAAATCATGAACGCATAAATTTAAATGTATTACCGAAAATACCATGCATATTGATAAATTAAATGTCTTTCATTTAATAAATATTTTTCTAGACAAATAACAATAAAGATTTGTCCTATAATCCTAAAACTGAATGCATTTAAAATGGTATCTATTTCTGACTTTGCAGAATATAAAACAATAATAGTTTTTAAAGAACAGCTGTAAAAACATATAAAAAATGCATTTCATATATTTTAGCAGTGCTTTTATTTGCTCCGAAATTACTACACCTTACAGTAATGTAACATTAAAGTTGAAAAAATAATAAAATATTTGTTATAAACTTTTCATTCTTCTAATAATTATTCAACAACTGTACACAGTAGAGAATTCCTGATCAAATTGTAATAAAGAGAACTAACCCTCTGGGTGCCATTGCTTTTTAAAATAAAGTCATCTTTACCGTAAAATTTTACGGATCATAAAATCTAATACACAGTAATTTTTACAGTAATATTTGCCGTAAAATCACTGAATGTTGCCATAAAAATTACGGTATAAAATTATTCGGTAAAGGTTAATTTTACAGTCAAATGCATTTAAATTAAGCCACATTCAAGGTGTCAGTACTTTCTACCGGAATTTTTTTTAGTGTATGTACCCAAAACTAAATGCTTAATATACTTTTTATCATCTTGTGGTGAAATCATCGTACTTGATTCGAAAAGTTCATGCTCTGGCGAACCTGAAAATTTCAACATACGCTCAAAGTATTTTTCTTAATCTCTTTGAACTGAACTGAAGCTCAAGAAATAAAATGTGATCATCGTGAAACTTCGTTACCATCGAAACCACCGTGATACTTTGTTCTTTTCTTTACTTTTTACTTTACTTATCTCTTTTTTCGCAATCTGCTTTACGTTTTTCTTCAGTTATTACTTTCTCGATTATTCTTGTATGTTTTTAATTTTGTTGTTAAGTTTTCATTAAAGTTATGTTTAAATTTAGCATTTTCTCTTTTCTGTTATCTTTGGCGACAGACTTAACTAAACATGCAGACTCATAATAAACGCAACCGATTTCTCGCCAAAATCTTTATTCAAATAAATCATTCCTATTTACTGTGCGAATATTTTAAAAAGTACAAAAAATACAGAGCAGCTGAACAGTCTGATTGAAAATTAGAATTAAACAGTCTGATTGAAAATTAGAATTAACTTTTTAATTCTATTTTTTAAAGTATTATATTATAATTTAACAATCGTATTTTTATAAAGATAATTCAATATTAAAAATCCACCTCTTTTTAGAATTTAAAAAATAAAAATGTTTTATGTAGGTTAATAAAAATTAATATGATGAAATAAAAATGTTGAAAATTTCGTTTTTCAATTTAAATAAAAAAATAATTCTATTTTTGTCATTCCACAAACGAAAAACATTAGCCATATCAATTTCCAAACTCGTAGGGGAAATTCACAATATTGGTCAAAAGCTTATTACGAATGTAATGCGTATGCTGGGAGAATACTGTCGACAATGTCAACCTTCATCAAAGAAAAAGTATCCCAATATAGCATCGAAACTGATACTGTATAAAACATCTGGGCACTTGAGGCTGCTTGCTGTCCTTTTCCCATTGATCTTTAGCTTGATCTTTGTCGTGCTTCGATGAGGTTGTGGAATGAAAATGAAGTAAAGGAGGTTCTGACTGTGTAATGATATGCAGTAGGGTGATAAGACTAAATTGAAAAAGTATGAAATTTAGCTAAGCCGATATGATGAAAATGAGGTTATGTATATGCTATTGATGTCGGGAGTATGATGCATCACTGCAATAGTATGCTGCTATTGCATAATTGTGGTGCGTATCGACCAGTCAGCTCTGGGATTGGAACCTGGATCGTTTTATCCAATTATTGTTATTCTATACTATCGTTATTTTAAACCTATTTCAACTGAATTTTTTTAATTTTGATTCTCTGATTTACTTTTTTAGGTACAGCCTAATCAGTGCAAGAAGAGCAAATGGAATATTTTAAAGAAATTTAGAAATTACCTTTAATGGAAGAACTCGTCACCAGCTTTGAATCTTCGACGTTTCTTAATTTATTAATTGTATCACATGTTTAAGATAATAACTATTACTTATACCAGTGTGCCATAGAGAAACTCTAACTTTCCCGTAATAAGTTAAGCTCACGTTTCTAAAAGAAAGAATGATGCAAAATTTAATGAGGATTTGGTAGTGTCAAAATCAAACTTCTTACAGTTACAAAAGAAAATTACTACTGGAACTTTCTTTCTAAGAAAATTATGTCTTAATTACACACATTTTAAAACGTTTCATTCGCTTTTAGCTCTCAAACACCACTTACAATCAAAACAACATAAATACTTTTCATGCAGTACTACTTATTCTTTATAAATAGCACGGGTTGTTAGTTGTTATCTTTTAAATTTAACAGTAATAATGACCTATTTTTGCAACATTTTCAACATCTTTACTCATTTAAAACAATATTTTAATCTCCTTTTTATAAAATGAATATTTCAATATTATCTAACAATAGAAAAATAGTGATAAAAGTCATAACTTTATTGTTAATTCTTTTTTCTGTCTATTACTATGTGATTTTAATATGTTTATTGCTATGATTATTTTTTCTCACTTTGTATATTATTGCACAATAAATCTTTTTTTTTTGTATTTTTCTCCATTTCGTTATTTAGCTCATTGTAAGTACCAACTCTCAATGCAAGCTGCGGTTTCATGACTAATTGATGCAGAACGTCATACCTTGTTAGAAATTTCTCAGAAAAAATGATTAAACAACAATTTATTTAATTGTTATTTCACTATATTCAAACAAAGCAGTCAAATTACCATAAGACGGTATTCAAACTGTTAACTGTGGAAAAAACGTTTATTAACTGCTTTCACCTCATACTGTTAAACAACCAGAAATTTATCGCACCAACTAGGACCATCTAATGACGTCCCTTCTCTATTCAGCTGGGTTCATATCATAGCCAAGAGGGCCTATCTGTCAATCTCATGACCGACAAGATTGGGGTTCGTATCCCAGGGTTGACATCCCAATATTTCCTTTCTTCCCTTCAACACACCAGTGAACAGCACTCCCAATTCCAATGCCCACTGCCAGACGAAAAGTCTAGCTCCAATGTCCAGTTAAAACTCTTTTTTAACGGTTTTGAAAAATGCTGGTGGTGAATGGTTAAAAAACCATATAGTTTTGCATTCATGGTTTTTTAACCATGCTAGTTGTAAATGGTTTAAAAACAGCAAAGGTAGAAAATGTTTCTCACCGTAAACTTTACGGTTAATTGGATGGTCAGACTGCCTCCAGCTATTTTACCATAATTTTAGAATGAAAATTTTAACAATGTTTCTCACAATTACATTGAATAATTATGAGTTACAATCTTTGAAAAATCCTCCACTCTGGCAACATCTGCTAGTTATTTTTCTTCTTAGATATTCTTTAAAAAAATAAGGGGACAGCAGCGAATCCTTTTTTTAAAACACTAAACTGGTTTCTTATAAAAATAATTAAGATGGGTTGAGGCGAACAAAAATTAAAATAAAAAGTGGTTTTTTTTTTTTTTTTTTGCTACAGTGGAAAAAATTCTGGATCTAAATACTGTAAAAAGTACTGACACTCAATAAAGCACTCTGCCGATACTTTTTACTGTAAAATCCCTTTTTACCAGAACATGTTACGGAACAAAGAATCTGATATACCATAATAATTACCATAAAATCACTAAATCACTCTTCTTAACTTAATAATTACTGCAAAAATTACGGTTGAATATTTTACGGTAAAAATGGAATTTACGGGTAAATCGGATTTTTAGGATGATGCATCCAACCGTGCCTGTACGTTATACCGTAATTTGATCGGGAATTTTTTATAGTATACTTGATTATAGACATTTATTGTTTGAGAATTTATTACACTATTTTTTAAGTACTATTGTATGAAATTTGAATTACCTTCGGATAACATGAAGAATTTTGCAAATTTGCGACACATATGTTAAATTATGCAAAACTTTTAAATTGTAATCTCTGTCTGGCAGCGTTGGAGTAGTGGACAAATTTCAAATTATGAGGACAAGGCTGCAGATTTGATTACAAAATTTGATCACAATATTAGATTGCATAAAACAGTTTTTATTGCATAAAACAGTTTGGGTCATTCAGTTGGGTCCATAGAAAATTTTAATCAAAAAGTTCACGCTGATTTAATGATTTCCATCATTGGCCTAGATAAGTTAAGGATTTAACATTATTCTCTGTTTTAAAACGCAATCTTGCATTTTAAATGCAACTCCAAGTCTTTGGTATTCGAATTGAGTATGTTGTACGCTGGGCTTACTGGATTCGATTCTTATTAACCATGGCAAGGAAATTGTGAGAAACAGAGTACAAATGGGGTTTAATTTTATGATATTTTTGGAAACCTACTTTATAGATGAACCTAAGAAACGTGATCTATTTGGAAAATTTAGCAGAACAAACCTGCATTTAGCTAAAAATATTTGAAAATTAAATAATCGGAAATTTTACTGAAAAGGAAATTCGGAAATTTTTCTTAAAAATAAATCGATTTAAATATTTTGTTCAAGGCTTAATTTAAAGGAAGGTTATTAGACCAAGAAAAATTGTTCCAAGTTTATTTTTGAAAGTTTAATCTTTCACTATTTGTATCTTACAGATAATTTAAAGTTATGCACATTTTTATTAAAAGTTGTTTTTACTGTAATTACTTTCACAGAACCATTGTATATTTTAATTGTGATTCTAACTTTAAATCCACACATTACATCGATATTTTCGCTTACCGTATAGATCTCCCAAAAGCCTTTTATGTGTAAAATAGTTAGTATTTACATTATTTTCAAATGTTGTAAAGAGTCAACAACTGTAAAATTTCTTTTATAACACCTCTGTCAATCAAAAATAGCTAAAGTTGTTAATATAATGTGAAGATTCATTAATAATCAATTAGTATTTGAAATGCGTAGCTTCAAGCGTTTTAAGTATGCAATAGCGGTGTTTTTCAATAAATACATATCTGACTCGGTCTGATCACTTATTTTAAAAAATGGCATAAAAAAATTACTTTTTCTTCCTTTCGGTACATTTTTAATCAGATTTTTAAATACTGATAGAGACTATTTCACATGACTACAATTTCCTACAATTGCTACCTATAAATTAAAAGCATATTTTCTAAGCATTTGTAAGTAATTGCATAAATATAAGAGTAACAATGGAAATCATAAAGACGATGTTTAATTTTTTAACTATTTCACTAAGAAAAAATTAGACAAAATAACGATAAGAAAGAAATCATGCAATGGTGATTTCTTGATTACATTGTAATACCCAAGAGCTATAACGACATTAGTATAGCTCTATGAAATTCAAAAGGAAATCCAACAGCAGTAAAAAAATATTTCATGGGCAGTAAAAGTCTAATTTGTTATTATTTTTATCGTAATTTAGGTCGTACAGAAAATGAACTGTGACACATATGCTGTCGCGGGGTGGAATACAGTTAATTAACAAAAAATAGATAGTATATCAGTTAGATTTAATCCTCAGCCTCGTCAAATGCCCTTTAGCCACTTATCTATGATGTCCAGAAGGGATTTGGTAAACCAAACGGACATTTTCATAGAATATTACCATACAAATTTGTACGTGTTGACCAGTTACTGCGTCATTCATCTTACTACTTTGCTCTGCAAGGTGCACTTCCCAAAAAGTTTGACAGCAACTCACTGCGAAGTGTCAAATACTCGATGCCTTCTTTTGTTTTTGGATTTAGTAACTTTGCCTCCCTCGTAGATATAAAAAAAAATTTACTTTGGAAGCGAGCCACACTGCATGACCCTTTGAGCAAGCCAGCAAGGTACATCTCTATAAAAACCAGAATAATCATTTCTATTTATCTACGAACGTCTTTTCAAATTTTGTGATGATTGCCTGCTGAAGTATAAAGCACGCTACTGGTGATTTCGGGTCAATAGCGTAGAACACCTTTCCATTGCAAATTTTTTAACAAGGCGTAAAAAGAGGTTCCGCGATCAAACCTGACACGTTAGCTGCTTTTTTGTTGTAATCAATGTTGCTCTTCCTCCCGTACTAACACCTTTGGCTATTGTTTCCACATTATTGCTCATCTTTGCCAAACAGTGCAAAATTTGTGCAAACTGGTTGAAGAATTCGTTCAAACCAGCCGTAGCTGGGGTTCGAACCTGAATCACCTCATTTGGAGGCAAACCTATCCCCTGATCCACGGTGGTTTCTACCATCGAATTGTAAGTATCACGTGATTGTGGCATCACGTGACCTTATTACCCCGTACCCTTTTCTTCTATAGGGACTACTCTGTACAACGCTGACAGGGATGGTCACTGTCTTTATGGTTAACATGTGGCTAACACCCTCTTTGCATTCCACGTAGCTTGCCATTTTCACTGATTATCCTGCATAGTTTAGTTGAAAAAACTACTCCTTTTTATGTGACCTAAGCATTTTTATTTCAATAAAACGCTAATGAAATAAATCGGCTTGATAAATTAAATAATTATCAAGAAAATAAAACTTAGTTCTACCTCAAAACAAATAAAAATTAAAAAACAAGATCTAAAAAATGAAACCTTACAATAATTCCTATCAGAAATGATTTGACAAGTGATTGCTATGACAACACTGCGATATTGCTCTTCTTATCAGTATTGTCATTGGTAAATAAGGCTTACGATCTACATACTTTTGAAACTAAGACCTGATAGTCAAATGTATGACAAAAAAATCAAAATCAACTCGTTTTTTAAGCATCAGAACTATACGAGTGTAGCATTCATCGCTATTCTAATGAACGCTATGTTATAATCAAAATATCGATTAGATAGTTTCGGAAAGTGAAACAAAAGATAGAATTGTTTTTCTAATAGTGATAGTGAAAAGTTAAGCAAGCTGATTTAAATAACTCTCATTTTAAATCATGGTATAACGTGAACAATCATACATTTTTAAATGTTGCCAATTTAAAACGAAATGTCGATGTATGAGAATAATGCTCTTTTCTTCTTTTTGATTTGTGTTGTTTCCTTAGTCAAATCTGTGGAAAATGCAGGTATTTAAAAAAGTTTTTTGATTTATTAGACATTATTAATCTGAGAACTCTTAATGCCATGACCAAGGTCCTAAAAACTTCATTAAATTTGTAATGTAATATATTTTAATTATGCAAACAGTAATGGTTAATACCAAATTATTTTAAGGTTAAGATTGCAGTAATAATATTTTTATTTATTTATTACATAAACTCCTATACGTACGACAATCGACTCATATTACTTTTCTTATAGCATATTTTCAATCATATAAATATTTTCAAGAAGACTGAAAGCATTTTTTTCATTTTACTCAGTTTGTAAACAAAAAATATAAAAGGTTACAAAATCTGAAAAATATTATAGATATTCTTAATTCATATTTAAACCTATACAAAGCTACCCCGACGTTTTCACAACAAGTGTCATATTTCAGCTTTTTCCTTTAATTTTTTGAAGAAAAAAATCACATTTTTAACTGTTTAGTCCTGAATTTTATTGCAGTCATAAGACATACTCGTTCATTACAAAACAAAAGAAAATAAGCTTTTTCTAGAAAAAGAATTCTACAATTTTCTTATTAAAATCTGAGTACATTTGCTGCTTTATCTACTCTAACAAGGAAATCCGAATCAATATAATTCTATCAATTGCAAACGAACTTCATTTTAACCAAACAAAAATATCTTGTCACCTTCTTCTCTATTTTTCAAAACAGTTCTTCTAGTTGTCAATTATTTTTTTTAAAAAAATCAGTTTGTTTAAAAAGTTTTCTTAAAGAAAATAATTCCTTATTTAGACTTATGTCTTATGCAATAATTTCCTTTCCAAACATCTAATCTCACAACTTCTTTTGTTTATCCGGCTGTTTTAGATACTTTTAACCTAATTAAAGCAATAAAATCAGACCTATTGAAGCTAGAATTCTATATTTTAAAAAATATGTCTAGATGCCACTCTTCAAATTGGCTAAAAATATAGAAAAAAAATATGTTACTAATTCTTAGATTGTACATCACTCTTAGTACTTTAGGAATAGTGATGCGAAGCGGTCTGTTAAAGAGTTAGTGAAATTTTACAATACCTTTTTAATCAATAAAATTACTTAAAGTGATTATTATTATTAAAATTAAGTACAGTGACCATTACTTATTAAATCACTATAATATGAATACTTAGAATTTTATATTTTTTTCAAGTTCATATATTTCTCATATCAATAACAAATCTTATTCTGACTTTTAAGAATAAGAAGACCAAAGTTACTTATGCGGATTACTGTTTGTTAGGGAAATTGAAAAATGAGAGTTAAAGATCAGAAACAGTTGATACCGAAGAGTGCAAATGAGCACTATTCGTGAATTAAAAAAAGTCACAGAATTCTTATAGTTATCCAATTTTGATAAATTTAAATTTAAAATTTTAGTTCGTGTTTCAAACTGTCAAATGCAGATTAAGCAAAATTAAAATATGTATAATTAATTTAACTTTGAGTGTATTAGCAAAATTTTAACTTTGAGCATTTTTTTTCCTGAAAGTATAGACATTCCGGCTTATGAAATTTAACATTCTCAGAACAGAAAAGATTTTAATAGATAAGTGATAGCTTACAGCCATAATTCAAAACTACCGTGATATGGCAAATAAAAGCACTAGATTTGATATGAAGGTCTAAGGCCCATTTGAAATTTCTAACTAAGTACATCAGGCTGTAGGGGTAAAAGAGAGGAAGAAATTTAAAAACTGCTATCCGTATAACTAAAATATAGTTTTCAATCCATTTCATTTCGGTGGAAGAAATTAAATCAGCAAAAATAATCCAACTTCATTAAGCCTATTAGTTTAGATGTTACAAGTGTTTTAGGCTCGAAAATTCGGTTTATTTACAAATAACTATTTACAATAGCGATCAAGGAAAAAGGAATAAAAAGCTTTTATTAAGTCAATAAATAAGGAGTTTATTCATCACCCTTGCTTCTTAGTAATTGCATTTTGACCCAACTTTATTCAAAAAGCACATCCCAATACCAGTCTTACATGCCTTACATTTTCCCTATTTTAGCTGATAATATTCTATCGGAACAAGATTAACATCAAACTCAACTAATGCGATATACAGCTTGACCAACTGTCGAATTATAAACTGGCTACTTAACTTTATAATGACTTAGTTTACCACCACTTATTTTTATAAATAACAATAAGAAACAAATATTTTTGCTGCATTTATAGATACTTGATCTTACCTAATTCGAGGTGTTGGGATTTAAATTCTAAAATTAGTTCTGCTCCTAAAACTGCAGATTCTTTTTTTAAAAAATTACATTTTTGGTCTATTTTTTGTAGAAATGAGCAAGTTTAAAAACTTTATATATAATAGGGGTCGCGTAAATGTTGCAACAAACTCTTAGGGAAGTTAAAACACATCATCAGGATTGAAATTACATAGGAACCCAAGTCCAGAAATGTACTCGGCTAAGGGCGCTCCCTCTATTATGACCTGTTCAGAAGTATACGAAGATATGGTTCATAATAGGAAAACGCTCCTAGTGGCTTATGTCTACATTTCCGGGCATGGGTTCCTATGCAATTTTAGTCCTGATGATGCGCATTAGCTCCCCTAGAAGTTTTTCACAATATTTGTGCAATCCCCTGTTGTTTATAACGTTTTTTAAAACTTGTACATTTCGACAAAAAATAGAATAAAAGTGTCATTTAAAAAAATTGTAACTTGGCGAGAGAAACCAAATTCAAATTAGAAATCAACAATGTGAAAATATCCAAGTTTAGTTAAAATTCTCATGCTACAGAAAAAAAAAGTTTTTCAATGTTATCTCTCTTCTCATTGCATATCCAACTAATTCGTCGACCAACTAGTCTTAGAGCTAAGATATCCGACTAGTTTCAATAACGTTTTTTAAATATTAATATAAAATTTTAAAAAAACTAACTTATTTGTTTCATTATGTGTAAAAACTTAAAAACTAGCAAAAAAAATTTTAAAATAGTCATTGTTAGATAAAATAAAAATTAATAATAAATAAGGCATTTTTTGCATATACAATAAACACTTCAAAAGAAATTTCGATCACTTAAAATTAAAAAAATCTTTTGAGGAGTTTATTTAGAAGTCTATTAACTATTTTTTGAACTATTATCTTAAAAGCAAGTGCATATACTACTGAGTTAAAGAATCAATGTACTAGTTAAAAAACCAAATTTTTACAATTTTCGAACTTGTCTTTACGAAAAAACATGCATAAAAAATGAAGTTTTACTTTTTTCTCTTATTCTGAAGTTCAAGACGTGTGCTATAATCGTAAACAATCATGAAAATTTGCAGACAATTATTTTAAAAACCTTGTTTAAGGTGCTGTAAATTTTGAAAAAAATCTGATTTTTAGATAAACGCATTTCAAGTCTTAAAATCTTTAGTCTTTCCACTGTGATCACCTTGCATAAAAACTGCTATAACTTTGCAAATAAGTAAAATACAAACAAAAGCAAAGCATTTTTAGAAAGCTAAGAGTATAGGGATTTTAAACTTATAATAAACTCAATGTTGAAAATTTTGTCCAAAAATATGTTTTTGCTCTTGTCAGATACCTTAATAAATGACCTACTGATACCACAGCAAATCATTAAGTTATAGCTATAAGGGTCATTGATAATTAACAAACTATCTGCGTTATGAATTAATAATTTGCCCATTAGTTAACTATAGTCATCCTATAAGTCAGTGTTTCCCAAACTTATGACTCTTGTGTACCCTTTCTAACTTTTTCGTAACGATGTGTACCACTAGTGAAAAAATGTGTACCACTAATAATATTTTTTTACTATAAAAAAGTTGCACAAAAGATAAAAATCACAACTGGCTGTTGACACCACTAGTTATTAACTGTTAACTGTGCAAAAATAGCCAATAGAAGAATACGTAATCGTAAATTTTCATAGCTAGTTATGTTTTTTTAAATGAAAAATTCTGAAATTTCCGTTTGTTGCAAGATATTTCGCATAAGAACGCATACCCCCTCTAAACTGTTCCCGTACCCCTGGGGGTACGCGTACCACACTTTGGCAAATACTGCTATAAGTAAATACCTTCAAATTCTCAATTATTCCTATTAATCAATTAATGAAATAAATACTAACTTCATAATTAACTAATGAACCCCTCATAGTGAGTGAAGCAAGGAAGATTCTCAAAGGAATCAGAACGGTAAAAAATTCTCAGATTGGTTCGAGAGGATGTGTTAAGACGGAGTATGTTTTCTCTCGTAAATGTGTCGCTGGAAAAAAAAAACATTAGAGCTAGAAGTTAAAAGGACGCTATACCGGGAAAGAAAAGTTTCATGACAAATTATCTTTCACCTACATAATTAACTCAAATTTTAAGCATACAAAGAGTTAGAGCCATGAAGTACCAAGTAATGATTTTTGTCTTCAAAATATCAAAATGCAAACAAATTATGGGTAACTCTGGGTGACGCAGTGAAAAAGTTATCCTGTAATAATTTGTCTGAAAATTTAAATGACGATTCAATATTTTAAAAGCATTTAGCAGCATTTGAAACTTCGTAGTTTTCTCTGGGTTTAACTGAACTCACATTTTTCAAAGCTTCAAATTTTAAGATGGCAATGGAGGAAAAACAAAATTTGCCATGAAAAAAACATTCCGTGGTACAACAATCTCATAAAAGAATGTCTATATATTTTCAGTTTGGTCCAAGGGAACAAGTAGAGACCGAGACTCTTATTTCTTAATAAATTTGTCGGAGTTCATTCATAGCATGCCCGATTTTTATTTATTTCTTTACAGAATGCTCCACTAATTTTCTAAATGGAACTGAAACTCAGCAAATCGAGTTAAACAGCGGGTGTACCGTAAGTACTTTACATATACTTCAAATGCATTTATTTGTCAGCAAATTTCTGTTTGATTTTATAACTGAAAGAAATCTTTTTAACTATGTTGTTTACGAGATCCTAATCCTTTGTATCCTTTACGAAACTAATGATATCCCTTACGAGAAATATTATTTTTTGTCCAACACGGGCGTAACTTTGTCAAACGTAAACATAACTTTGACTAACGTACTCTTATTGTCTCAGCAATATTGGGTCAAAATATGTTCAAAACGTACTCATCACGTAAAAAATATCCGTAATTAAAATACTTCATTTTAAAGTAGATTGTTTTCAAAACCGGTTTTGAAAATATGTAGATATTTCAAAAGAAAAGAATAAAACCTTATTTGAGAAAAAGATTATTGCGTCGAAAATATCGCCTCAGACTGCGGTTTATAATTATCTCGTGTGCATACAGATGCATTTAAAATGATCATAAATTATACACTTTTTCTTACAATGACAAGGAAGCCTGTTATGTGGAATAATAAAATGCACGGAGAAAAAAATTCTGAAAAGATTACCGTACTGCATAGTAATAACATTCTGTTTTTTTTTTTTTTTTTTTCTTTTTTAATAAAATAAAACATTAATTTGATATATATAACGTACTTAAACCACTAATTTAAAAATTTTCTAGTTCATATCGTAACGGTTTTCATCGGATATTCTGGTTTTTAAAATTATAGTTCTTATTATGACATATCTTGTAAAAGGTACAAAACTGAAAAGTAAATTTAACCGAATAAATGGCTTTGATGACCGGCTATCAAGCCTCCTTTTCAAATCACTGTATTTTACAGTTATTAAATTTGATCACTCATTATAAAACCCTATTTTCTATTAATTTCCCCAAAATCATTATCAAAGCACTTCGGAGAAAAAAAAATTATCGAGATTTTTGGTGTTCCCCAAGAGCCAGAACATGGCAAATTTTGCCTTACTCCGGTAGTTTCGACCATATTTTGTTTCTCAGTACGATTTCAAATTTTATATACATAGATTAATACTTAATAATTATGCTTCAAATTTAAAAATTAATACTTAAGATTGAGGGGTATAATAGCACTTGTTTTCTGCACTCTTTAAACTATTTTTTAAACCATTTTTTTAAATCATTTTGAAGAAAAAATTCAATGTGTATATTCCATGCGTTCTATGTGTATGTGTGTTTCTATGTTCTTAAAATGTATTTCTTGATATTTATCTAAATTCTTTCCTTTAATCACGTTTTTTAACACTTACTGTAGCTATTATTATGCCCTTATTATACCATCTTACTCTTATTTTAAAATGCCATAAAATAATGATTATTTTTTTACCATCACATTTCGTTTCATAACAATATTATTTTCATCAGATATTTATTTATGAAAGTATAACTGTTTCGGACAAGAGCATATCTAGAATTGTTTTGAAAAACTCTCCTCTAAAGGAAAATTTTAATGGAACATCTGCAACTGTCACCATAGAGGAATATAGAGAAAAAGAGAAGAATTATGTACTCATAAATAATTCATGGATTATGAACTCGAATGAAACATTTAAAAGAAGTCATTTCAGCGAAAATTTAAAAATGAGAATTACGTTCTCTACTTCAGAAATTTGGTCAAACAGTAATGTCACACTCTGCTATGAAGAAATAACGTTTGGTAAGTTATTTCTTTTGTTCTTTTTAAATATACAACAAATTAAGGAATTAGATTCTCTAATAAACCTTACTATTGCACTGTGGACCAGAAGACAATGATCTTTGGCCAAAAGTCAAAATTAAATTTTCCAACTAAAATATGTGTAGGCAGTTTTAATATAGCCCAAATTAAGTATTCATAATCATTCCTAGCATTATAATTTACTTTTTGATCCGACGAGAGTACAATGCAGTGAGAAATATATTTAAAAAAAAATTTTTAATGCAACTTTTAAGTTTTAATGTCAGAAATATGTGTAGGAATTTCACCTTACTGTTACATTTTCATCAGAGTAATTAGTCTGAAATAATAGTACAATTTTTCAATTTGTTGGATTAGTTAATACTCTTGACAAACTTATAGTTTATATCTTATCATTTGACATTTTACAATGTTTGAATGACTTTCGAAACTTAGTTCCAAAAAGTTCCACGACGTAATTAGCTAAACTTTTTTTTGTTGTCTTCTTTGATGTTTCTTCTTTCGAAAAAAAACCCGCCTCATTTTTCCCATATTGCAAAGGTGGACTAAATATACCGAAAAACAAAACTTATGTTTTTTTTCATGATTTCGCGTTATTTTGTAATATTACTTCGGAAATGTAATTTGCTTTTCATTTGTAATATAAAATTAAGAAAATTATTATATTTTCATTGCTATATTTAATTATTTAAACAAACTATATTACTTTTTTTTATTTTTGCTCGCCATATTACAGCCACCATTTTGTTTTGTTTTTGGTATTTTTAGTGTATTTCAAAATTTCAACTATGAATTCAATTTACTTGCACATAAGAACCCCTAAATAAAAAACCCCAAATTCTGAAACAAATTTTATCGAAATACTAATTTTGGCCACGAAACCTTGGATGCTGGCCCACTGTACATTGTTGTTATCGTTTAACATCAGGGCAATGCCGACGCGAGATGTGTGATTCGTTCAATCTTCATCCAATTCCTTTTTTCCAGATTCAAATTTATAGTGAGAAAAATGTATAAGACAGGCAGCTTTTGCAAGTCTATGTTTTTTTTTTCTTTAGTGCGTATCCCTGTAATTTTAGACAGGAAAACACATTTCTGACTATAGGTAGTTAAGTTAGGTTCTGAAAATAGGTTTGAAATCGCATAATATGGAAATTTAGTTCCGTTTTCTGGTGTGTCTCTCAACCAATGTATATATATATACATATATATAAGCCATATGTCATCAAATTTAGCTACAGTATTAAAGTGTCTCAGATATTTACTTCGAATCTTATATGATGTGATTTTAAACAATATAGATTTGCTTATTATGAAAGTTAACAGCTATATATTTTTTGTGGTAAATAAAAATTTTCTATATTAACTAATAATTTTCAATAACAAAGTTTATTAAATGGATTAGTTTTTAATTATTATAGATAATATATTAATTTTATTATCTAATATAAGTTTTAAAAATTATTGGATAANTATATATATATATATATTCATTAAATCGATTTTTTATTACTCACAAAAATATTACTTTTACCGGTTTTTTAATAATTAATATTCCATCAAGTAAAACATCAGTTTAGAAAGTACTGTGTAAAACCTTTTAAACTTACCTTTAAAAAATAGGTGTAGGGAATATCAAACAATAGCGCAAACATCACTGCCGTTTTATCATTCCTTTCAAAAAAAGCATTCCTTTCTTAATTTTTTAATTCAACTAGCTCGAATAATTCATAATTGCACGAATTTAAAGTACGAAATAATCATATTTAATACACTTAATTCGTAGAGCTTATGATTATCTGATTTTTACACTTATACTTATGATTTTTATAAGTATTATTGTTTGATTATTATGTTTACGATTATAATTATTTATGATATATTATATTACATTTTATTTATGTTCACTTATTTACTAATTTATTTATTTATTTTACAGAACAGTTTGTAAATCATTCCTCATATGTAGAAGGAAATGTAATATCTCCGTGGGTCAAATTTGATGATGATTGGAATTACAGGCCCAACTCGAAATATACTTTTTACATTGACAAAAATATTAGCCAATCCACCAGTAACATTCGAATCACACTCAACGAGCTGGATGCTGATATAGCTATGGGAGAATATTTACTGATTGGGGCTGGTATTAATTATATTACATATAGATTCTTATATGAATTTTTAACAAACCTTCAAAGTTTTTTTCTAATAAAATCTAAGCATTCAATTTCATAATGATTATGATTGTTAAGTTTGGCTTTAAGAAAGTATTTAAATATGGCTTTAAGAACATATTTCAAAAACGTTCGAACTTTTTAATAAATTTACACTTTTGGAGTCTTCTTGCTGTTATCATTTTCCAGTGAGCCATAGAAAACAGACAAGAGTTAAGAACAAAATGAATTTCTTACCTAGAATTATGTACCAACATGAATATTTTTTTTAAATAATTGTAGCAAAATTTAAGACGTTTTGTGTCTGTTTAAAGAAATTTCATGTGCATATTAAAGAAGGTCGGAAATATTGGCGTTTGGTAAAGATAGCTTTGAAATCTTTTATTAGAAAACGCAGCCGATAATTTTGTGGCACTATTACAAATTGGCATCGAAGTTCTTTTCTGCTTCTGAAGCGTTGAAGTCTACGCTAGATCAATAAGAAGCTATCCCTTTAAAGGTAAAAATATTTTTTTCTCTTTTAATTTGCTGTAAAAATAGTGTGAACGTTACTTTAAAGCTTTTAATAAATTTAGAATAGCATAAAAAGATTATATGTCAACTGTCTGACTAGGCTGAAAGGCGGGAGAGCTAATGTTTAAAATGAAAGCAAATTGTTCTGCAATGATATCTGATGTGAAGATCCTGACTTCGCTAATGGACAGGCATGAACTCAAATGAAGAGGAATGTTCTTGACTAATAGTGTAGACTGAAGACGAAACCAATCAAAATTGCGGAGAAGTGAGGACAAACTAACGCTTAAAATAAAGTTAACGCTTTCTGGTGCAAAAATAAAAGACAGAACATTTCAGACTTTTCTTGAAAACGCGTGAAGTAACATTTAAAATGAAGCCTAATGAATTCTCATTGGTGTCTAGGGTAGAGAGAAGATTCTGAACCAAACTGACTTTAAGAGCATTTTAAAGGAGCGCCATCTTGGACTCTAGGTTAAATTTTTAATTCGTGTTTTCTCAATACTTTTTTAACTTGGCAAAGTTTTGAAGATGTAGCATTATTAGACAACAGAACACCTTTCAAAAAAAAGGATAGAAAATAAAAAGACCGCTTTATTAGATTAGGAAAAATAGCACTTGATAATTTCTAGAATTTCTCTGAGTTTTTCCACGAAACTTTAAAGCAATAAAATGGTACGATTTGTGGTTTTGAGTAAGTAATTTAAAACAACGTGTTTCACAGTTTTTAGATTTTTTAATATCTAATCTTTGTGCTGCTTAAATTGGTAAAAAAAATTAATTTTTTTGACACAAAAAATTTCCTTTAACGTTCATTGGTTAAAAATTTCCTTTAATGAACTGTTAACTATTTGCATATCTTTCAAAAACTGTAGTCTGCGAAATTGTATTAGCATAATTTTGTCAGAAAAAATAAATAGAGAATCTAAAATACCGTATACTTTATATCTCAAATTCTGATTCGGTAGCGACCATATATTGTGCATGTATCGAAAGATAGTGCCAAAAAAGAGTAAAATCCATAATCAGTTTTTTGAGAAAATTAAATGAAAAAGATTAAAAACATATTTAGAATTTTGTCTCCCCGTCTCGCACTTACATACTGACACTTCTCATATTCATACCCTGACTCTCTTACACCTTTAGTTTCAAACTGATATCTGTTGTAGAAAATAAACCTTCCCGACAAATGAAGAACTTCATATGCCTAGTATGACACACTCTACGTCTACTACGTCTTTCGAATTGAAGATTTCAAAGTTTTTTTGGCCATATGTCATACACTTCGATTTTTCCGCAATTTATTTCAACCAGAAACTACGTTTGAGTGCAATGTTTGGTGATGAAATGCTTTTATTCTTTACTCTTTTCTTTCCTTTATACATTCCATCGGATTCTATAAAAAGATCCTAAAATGATATCTAAAGTATTTTGCGATTTTTTCCACAATTAATTTTGAAAATGAAAATGATAAACTCGTTTTTTACGTTGCTCTTAGAAAATAAAATGCTCGATGTGAACTGAACGCTTATGCCCAGAATAATTTTTCGAACAGACCTTTGTGTGAAATTTAAGTTTTTTTTTCCATGAAAAAAAAAGCAAAATGCTCTCGAAAACTGTTTTTGTACATTTAAGAAAAAACACGTGAAATTGTTATGTATTTTTCAAGTGAGCATAAATTTCGTGAAATATATCTTTTATTTTCATCATTCAAACAAATTCCTCATCTCAATAAAAATCCCACAAGAAAAATGGTAACTGGACTTTTTTAATAGCCTTAACTTATATGAAAATCTGTTACACTAATTTTATAATTTAGTTTGCTATTCCAGTTCAATTAAATAAAAAAGAAAGAACACTTGAAAGGGAGAAAAAACAATTTTCTGGAGGGTTGGTGAACAAGTGTTTAGATTGTGTTCGTTAAGTGTTTAGATACGTTGAGTGTTTAGAGTTGTTAAATGTTTTTAATTCGTTAAGTGTTAAGAATCTTTCAGTGTTTCGATTCACTGTTATTTCTTGCGTATGTTTCGTAGGTTACATTAAAATTAAAATATTTCTGTTTCTACATTATAAGAGTACTGGGAAAAAAGTAAAGCTCTTTAAATGTTTAGAGTTGTTAAATGTTTTGATTCGTTAAGTGTTAAGTGTTTAAAATCGTTCAGTGTTTTGATTCACTGTTATTTCTTGCGTATGTTTCGTAGGTTACATTAAAATTGAAATATTTTTATTTCTACAATATACGAGCACTGGAAAGAAAGTAAAGCTCTTTAAAAGTAAGCATATTAATCGTAATCCACAAATCAAGTCAGAGAAAAAAATAGTCATTTCATTTTTATTTCTGGAGTTGACTATTGACTTAGATGACTGAGAATGTTACGAATTTGAAAAACGAAACTGAAGTAAAATTTTACGTTAAAATGTTTAGCATAATTTATATTCTTAAAATATTATCTAACATATTATGACAAAAATTCGAACTGATTCAATAGAAGAAGAAAAAAATACTTTCTCGGTTTTGTTTAACTTTCATAGAGACTAGACTTTAAAGTCATTATTTCGAAATTAAGTTTCAACAGGAACATGACGTATGTACATAGCGTTTTGTCTCTAAAATAAAACAAAATAAAAATTTTAAATGGTTTTACTGAAAAGGGTTTAAAATTTCATGACAAATTGCAATATATCCATTAGAAAAGGTAATAACCTTATGTCTCAAATCATATCTCAAATTGGCTTGATTGGCCATTGGCTTGAAATTTCGAAACTTTTTTAATCAAAATGTGCTTCAAAATATTTCTTTTTGTTTAATTTCAAACCTTAAATGAGTTCACATATGATAATAAAAGATGTTTTCTTATAAATAAAGAGAGTGTAATCATTTTCATTTTATATAGAAAAAAAATATTGCCTCTGGTACAAACTAAAAAATCAAAATTTATTTTTAAAAGGTTTACATCCCTTAGAAGGGCCGCCCTGGCTAAGCATAACCAAGGCAGATGAAAAAAAGAAATATGAAGTTTACGATGAAAGTGCATATATTGTGTTTGTTACAAAGGCAACGAGTAGAAACTTCAGGGGTTTCAACATTTCATGGGACTACGGAGGTAAAATTCACACTCCATGCCTTAAATAACTCAAATACATTGTACTATAAATCTCAAATGTGTCTTTGTTTTAAAATTTCAAATAACTCTAAGTTGTCTTAAGTAAGTAGTGAACAAAGTCAACTCAATCGCATAACAAAGAATCTGGGTACAATAAAACGTCAAGACTACACAATAAAGGTTAAGATGTCTCACAATGATCTCCAAATGTAAATTTCAATAAACGCCACTTGCCCATCGAAGATGGAGAGATAGATACTCTAGCTCATACGGCTACAACCCTGCATCGTGGTGACTGGCTGTTCCTGGGTTCTGTCCGCCTCGCTTGACCCTGTAAAATTTTGTTCGTTCCTCTTCTAAAATGAGATTTATGTACTTGGCTCTCAATATAAAATTTTCATCCATAGTTGAAGAATAGAGTGGGAAAAGATTTTAAGTACATTTTAGTGAATATGAGTACTGTTTGTCTAAGATAGGTACTCTGCCAGACATTCGTCTGGAGCTGTGGTGATGACTATGGTAACGAGGTATGATTATTTTAAGTAGGGGTGAGGGGTCCCTCTTTAGGACTGGTTTCGGCGAGAGAAAAGAAGATCTCTTCATCGAAGCTACCCTCCCTAAAATGCCATCTTCTTGTTTCCATAGCACCAGACTGCCGCAGACTTAGTGGCGGTCAGAGTACCTATCTTAGACAAACAGTAAATCATTTTTAAAGTTCACGCACTAAAACTAAGAAATCGATGTTGTGTCTTACTTTCCTTCCTTAAGTTTCCTACTTCCAAAATCTTCTTTTTTTAATGCCCACCTGGAGAATGACCTATCATACAGGCATCTGAAGAGCAGATTTGTTGGCCACTCAGTCAGAGGCACCATATTAGGTGGGCCAACGTTGCTCCCACAGTAAGGACAGATAGTAGAGAAAATGAAAGAGCATCCATGCCTTGCCCCGGATTCGAACGCAGAATCTTTCTGATGCAAAGCTCTGACCCCTACACAGGCAGATTAAAATTTCCAAAATCTATAAATGTCTAACTCTTCATGTTTTTCTTAATTTGTTGTCAAAAGAGAACATTTCTAAAGTTACTCATCGATGGCGTTCTTGGAATTTACTTCAATTCCGAAACCACTCAAAGATTGATATGTAATACCTTCATCCATTATATTTCAAAAATTGGAGAAAAAAACAACTTATGTGTGGTTAATAAGATTAAAATAAGATTTTTTCCTCAAAACCTCTGGGGGTACTGGATTGGAGATCGATCGTTCTCCGATTCAGGTCAAAATTACGATCTGTGGATGAATGAATGGATGTATGACTGAGTCCGCCCTATAAACGGGTGTGACGTATGGTGTGGCAGAAGTCGAATTCTTAGCCATAGATGGCGCCACTGGAAAACAAGAAGAATCGCACCCCCTCTGCCTAAACAGGCATACGTCAACAACAACATAAGATTTTTACAACAGAAATCTTTTTTTGTTTTCAAAATGTCTCATACAACTTTTTTTCCCAAAAACTATGTAATTATCAAAAGCTATGTGAGTGATCACAAAATATCCTGGCATATTAATGTAAACAAACTTATAAAATAGTGTAAAGAAATAATTAATATTAATAATTAAAAAGCTAATAAAATCATGTTTAATAATACATTTCCGAACGGAAATCACTCCCAACTCCTAAATCCGAATAGGAGCCTCGTTTTCTCTCATTCTGTACTCTGCTAATGTCAATATCCCAATGTTTATACTTTTTTATTTTTATGGTCAAGAATTTTAATTGGTTGGGGAAAGTATTACTTTAACTATTGAATTCCTTCTGAAAGACCAAACACGTGAGAAGTTTCAAAACAAGAATTTTTGAATTGAGATGGATTTGTTCCTTGCTTAACACGCCATTTTGCTCATATATGATCATTAGGTTCCGATATCATAGGTCACATGAGTGAGTATCCATGATTTTCTTCTTCTTCTTCTTGAAATGAAAGTACACAATTTATGTATGTATGTCGAAAAATAACCCCCGAAAGTCAATGTAAAACTAAAAAGTATTCCTAAAACCATCACTAAAAACGGACCGAGTTCACGATTAAGCTTCCTAACATGGATGGAAGAGAATTAGAACTAAAAATATTTTTTTCTTTGCTTTATAGATACAACTATAGAAAAACCTGAGATTGATGAAAAAAAAGACGTGAAGGAATCTGCTCCAATATGTATTTATAACATTACAGCAGCAAATGAAGAAGTCAGTAAATGCTATTTTTATTACCATTTTCCTTAACCTTGCAACTTACACTAAACCTGTTATCACCTAATAAAAGTTTATTTTATTATTCGTCACCTTTGATCACCATCGCTGCCTATCCTGCAATAGATATGTGGTTATAAGATTCACCTTAGTATCCGTCTAACTTTAATCTCTACTTCAAAAGAAAAGACAAACTTAAGAGTCAAATATCAAGATCGGTGCAAATGTTTAAGAAGCTCAGTTAATTACTTATGAAACCAGCTTCGTTCGTTGCTTTTCATCGAATATATAAGGCACTTAGTTTTCAACTCTGTATTTTTGTAATTAAAAACCCAACTCATAAAATAAACAGCCGCTACGTCAGAGTGGTGAGTTAGTCCATCGGCTTCGATCCGAGTTCGATTGGCTAGTGCAGTGGTGCACAAACTAGGGGTCGCGACCCCAGTGGGGGTCACCATAAGTTTTTTGGGGGTCGCCAAATTTATATGAAATGCATTATCCCTGCATGCTGCATACCATACAGTGTACAAATAAAGAGTGAAGCGCCGTCACTCCCTGTTTATTTGCAATTTCATGCTGTCCACTCTTTCTGATGGTGCTGCAGCATTAACAGGTTTGAATAAAGGGCTCAGATGCTTAATTCAGAAGGTGGCGCCTCATATGGTATTTAATCACTGTATGATTCATCGGCAAGCTCTTGTTGCAAAAGATATGGATGAAGAGTTGCACAACGTATTACAAGACGCTGTTAGTTCAATTAACTACATTAAATGCAACAGCCACAACAACCGTCTTGTTTCAATACTTTGCAATGAGATGGGCTCAACGTATGAGAGATTTACTGTTACACACCGAAGTCAGATGGCTTTCACGTGGGAAAATACTACGACGGATATTTGATTTAAGAAATGAAGTGTACTCGTTTTTAATCGAAAAGAAACATAGATTGGCAAGTTATTATATCAATGAAGTTTGGATGGGGAAGCTGAGCTATTTAGTTGATATTTTCGAAAAACTTAACGACTTAAATTTGAACTCGCAAAGTGAGAATTCAACTATCATAACTGCAGCCAGTAAAATTCAGGCTTTTAAGAATAAGCTTAGTCTCTGGCAAACTGAACTGAATAAAAACAACACCATGATCCCTTGCTTTAACGATTTTATCAAGGAAAATAATATAGATATATTTACTTTTAAAAACATCATTTCCAATCACATTGAAAAGTTACAGAAAATTTTTTCAAGAAGATTCGAGGATTTTCCTGAAAATCTTGGTTGGATTCGTGATCCATTTTCCTTTGACATATGCAGTTCAACTCTTCAAATTAGTGAGAAAGAGCAATTGATGGATCTAATTAGTGATTATACTCTTCGAAATCAATTTAAGACTCAGCCTTGACAAAAATTTTGGCTATCCGTGGAAAAACAATATCCTATTTTATGCAAGAATGCCATCAGAGTGTTAATACAATTTGCATCAACGTATTTATGTGAAACTGGATTTAGCAAACTAGTTTCAATAAAAACTAAATACCGCTCGTGTTTAAACCCTGAAGATGATATGCGAATTGCAATTAGCAACATACATCCTAACATCGATGAGATAATTAGAAACTTGCAGCCACATACATCTCATTAAAGGGCAATTTACTGATTTTTGTGTTATACAAAAAGTATTTTCTTAAAATTATGAATAAAATTAATATGAGTCAAATAAGATGATGTTTTTATTCGATGAAACGAAAGAAATGCGCGAAATATACATCTTATTTGTGAACATTTATCTCTAGGGGTCGCCAAAAATTTTCTCTCTACTAAAGGGGTCGCAGTCGAAAAAAGTTTGCGCACCACTGGGCTAGTGGACAATGTGATCGAACTGCACTTTCTCCTTTCGTGTAGGTCAGTGTTTCCCAAAGTGTGGTACGCGTACCCCCAGGGGTACGGGAGCAGTTTAGAGGGGGTACGCGTTCTTATGCGAAATATCATGCGACAGACCAAAATTTAAAATTTTTATTTAAAAACAAAGCTAGCCATGAAAATTTATGTTGACGTATTCTTCTATGGGCTATTTTTTGCACAGTTAACAGTTAATAATTAGTAGTGTCAACAGCCAGTTGTGATTTTTAACTTTGGTGCAATTTTCTTATAGTAAGGTAAGTAATAAATTCCACTTATTATAGGTTTGTAATAAATTCCACTTATTTTAATTATTTTTATAAAATAATAAAAAAGGATTTTAAGTTATTAGCTAATAAATTAGCTAAATATCAAAAGTATTCGCCAATTTTCGAAAGTCTTCGCCAAATGCAAATCGTAACAATTTTTTATAATTAATTTTTTCCCATAAAAAAACTATTTTACGGTAGTTTGTTTCAGGCGTATATTATTTGGACCCAATTCTACTTGGTTATGCTGGGCATCTATCAGAAAATTCTGTAATCGAATAAAAAATACTGATTTGTTTAAAAAATTAATATTGACTTAATTTTAATTTCTTTCCAGTGCAAAAAACATGCAGTGGAGTGCTTAGCTCGGACCCTGATAGTATAATTCGTCACCTACGAAACTTTAATCCGCGAACTGCCTTGTTTTTAAAACAATACTATCGTGATGTTTTAAGGAATAGTTAAATTTTATAGCAACATCGAAATTTTGAAAAATATTTCTAAATTTCGGATTCTATGAAGATATGCTTTTTTGCCTCAAACGTGATCTAAAAGTTATTAGTCAACATTTGAATTTGTTAAAAAAAATAATTAATCATAAAATAATTTATTTTGAAGGTATACAGTAAAATACTATTTAAATTTTACAGTTTGCGAACAACACACCAGGAGATTATTTCAAGGATTTTCGTGAAAACTTCGCTAAAGTTGCAACTGATGTCAGCGAAAACTCGGATGATGTAATTAGGTGAGTAAAAAACCTATGAAATACCTGAGCAAAATTAATTTTAGGAATTAAATATTACCTTTAAGTCAGAAAGAAACCTTATTTATGTTTGTTTTATCCAAAAAGTATATCACCTTAATTTTTGTGCACACGTCGATAAAATTAGCGAGATTATTGCACGTTAGAAATCCCTTCTACCGAAACCTGCGATTAATTGGCGTTGACGAATGATAAACACACCATTGCATTCTTATTTTTAAATAATGTAAAAGTAGAGTTTGTTTCTTCATGAAATGTTTCGTGATTGAGGATCCCGTTGAACGAACTAGTTAAGCCCGAATTTTCCGAATTCGGTCTTAATGCATTTTTGGCTAAGGACAATAAAACTGTTTCGATTGGTGTAAGACACTGTCATAATTATAAAATAAGCCTCTTCGTGAGCAGTAAATAGTACGAAGGAAACCTATATAAATCAATCGTCTTTTTAAATTGCCTTTGGCTCTCACCAGCATTTTGTTAATCTGGAGAAACCTAGTTCTCTTAAAAAGCCCTTCAATTCTTGAGAACTTCCATGAGGAAATGTAGAATAAAATTCAACAATCAATCCGAAGACGTAGTGTTTGCAAACATCGAGAGTGGAAGAATTGGTAAAGCAGCTTTAAACATGGCTGACTTCTATAATCGCCTTTTCAACATCAAGAAATAAAGCAATTTTTGCTCAAGCAAGTTTCCAAATGATCCATGATGATTGAACCAAGTTAAGTAAAGCGAAGCTTACCCTGGCCCGCCTTCGGAGGAAGAATTCAGGAATTACCAGGTGACGTGGCATTGCGAGAGCTCAGTTTCAGTGGAACAGAGGACCGGTGGCGCATGTACACGGAAATTCATAGCCCCGAGTCACGCCCAACAAAAGCAACACTTACTCGTCGAAGGTAAAGAGGGGCAGAGAAGCTCCAAGTGCAAGATCCGCGGGGCGTAGGTCGTGCCAACTCCGCTGAGACGCAGATCAGCTGGGGCTGACCGCAGGGAGACAACACCCATCCCGCGATCAAGAGAGTAGCCCTCTGACTGGAAGACCCCAAACCATATGCTTTATTACCAAAATTACACCCACGTTAAGTAAAGCTTGCGCATAGAGTGAATCAGAAATAAACCAGCACGTCACATTTTGACCTCATTTTAAGCATAGCTTTCTCAATGCGATTCAATGGTGATTTTTTAGGGACCCTATTTTTTCAATAAGAAATTCTAAGAGTAAGAAATTCTCACATAAAAAGGGAAAAAAAGTGCAACTGATTCATAAGCTTTGCGTCGATACGTGACATTGACGATATTCTGGTTTTATTTACTTGTGGACAAAAAAAAAATAAAGACAAGTTTTAATAAACTACGTATTTAATTTTTTACATTAAACTAATTTGTGACGCTAAAAAATTAATAATAATAATTCTAAAAATAATAAACAATTGTTTGTAAATTTAGTCTGTTAGTGCAAAACATATTACTATGAGTCTATAATTCACCACTGCTCTTTTCATTATCTAGCGCTTCTAGTGTCAGCGTTTTTCGAATATCTGGAGTATTTAAGGATGATAAATCCAACGAAGCTCTGTACGCAATGGTTAAAATAACAAAGGATTCCACTCAAGGAGAAGCAGCTTTCAAGAGGAAAAAGCTGGAAGAAATTATAACTATATACAGTAAAAAAGTTTTAGAGAAAGAAATAGTGGACAAATTTGAGGTAATATTTCTTTTGAATCCGATTAATTAAAGCTTTGCTTGAAAAGTCTTAATTGTTTTCTAAAGAAAAAGAGCCGGGAGAGCCTAGTTAGTAGGACACTGGGTTCATGCTCGTTGTAAGGTCGTAAGTTCGAATCATGCCAGCAAAAGCCTTCTCGTGTATTAAATGGTGATTGGTGCACTTTAAATCTGCAGGGGTCATGAAGCCCTTCAAGTTCCCATAACAAATCAATACCTCTGGGCAGAATTGAGATTGATCATTCTCTGGTTCATGTCAAAATTACTATGGGTGGTAGAATAAATGGGGTATGAATGGATCCTCTTTGTAAAACGTGCTCTGACGTGTGCGTGGCTGAAGTCGTATTCTTGGCCATAGATGGCCTCTTCTGAAAAACAATAAACGCGCTCTCTGCCTTAAAAATTACTTGGATTCCCATAGTAGGCTTGGTATTCTGTGGCGAGCTGGACTGGTAGCCAGACGTGGACTATACTGGTAAGGGTTTTGCAAACCTAGGTACGTCTCCACGTCTGGAGGAAAGGAAAAGCAGGCTTGGTATTGACAAGTGGAGGTAGTAACAAGAATTTTAAAAAATAATAATTGCTTCCAGATATGTTTTCACTAAAAGAGAAGTGTATAAAAAACTTTGCAACGGTAACATTTTTCCGATAATTGAATTGATACATCGTGACTACCACAAGTAAAAAAAAACTTAACAGACATGTAATATAGGAATGAATTCATCCAATCTACTATTAGTAGCTAATGCTGTTACATCATACCTGATAAGTTTTACAAATTATTCACAAAAATACAAAAAAGTTAGACTTACCATATATTCAAAGCTGAATAAACTGACTTCAAAAAATGTAAAAACATTGAATTTTCAGCACAAAAAATTTAAATTAACACAAGTTTGATGTAGAAAATATCAGAATACGATTTCCTCAAATACATTTCATCACTTTAGTCCTATGCTGCCGTAAATATGAAAAACTGATGTAAACGACGAAAAATTCGAAATCGAGATTTTTATATATTTGGCATTTTTTTTCTTCGGAAATCAGTTTTTTAGCAGTTTTCAGAAATTTCGTTTCAGCATGACTCTGACTGAATCTTTAATTTGCAGACATAAAATGCCTAAGTCCAAATTACAATTGAAGAAACAATGTTACTTAGCTATTTATTCAAGGTTATCTTTTCGACAAGTAGTAAAACAGATTTACGATGATGTTTGTATTGCAAGTAATTGTGACCGATGGAAAACAATAACCTCTGGCAACCCTTGAACTTAAGTTTTTTTTTGTTTTTTTTTTCATCTGCCGCTTTATTTCTTTAGCATCTTGCGATAATTCAGCACATTCTGATTTGAAAATTTTTGGTTTTACTCAGAAATAAAAAAAAATTCACGTCTATCGCGAATTAAATAATTTTATATGAGTGAAATCTTCAAGATTACAGAGCATTGTGTTCGACCTTGTGTTCTATCCTGAAAAACGTACGACTTTTTTATATAAATGTTACGGATGTACTTATTAATAATAACCCGTTATTATTAATAATAAAAAAGCTTTTTTTGGTAAATATCTTGCAACTAAGCACAATAATCACACTATTATTAATAATTGCCAAAAAAAGCTTAGCAAGTGTAATTATCTAGGCATAATTTATTGAGACTTAAACCTTAACGTAATTTTTTATATGTTTATGTGCGGTGATTATGAATCTGCCTTTGTAAAGTTAAAAGAGGGACAACAAGTAATACGAATTTTTACTTATATTTTAATTTAATATAACAGCATTAAAAATTCAATTTGCTTGCCTATCATCATATCTATTGGTTATTGATAATTTTTTAAATCTTGAGTTCATAAATTTTAATATCGTTACAAAAAATGAAGAACGGCTATTATAAATATTTGGATTGATTAAAGTTGCCATTGCCCGGTTTTCCCTACACTGATTTTATGAATAAGTGCCACTGGCCGATACACCCTACAGTTATGTTTTTTACTGTCAAGTGCGTTGCATGATACACATTCATGATACCCGACACTGATATTTTTTTTAAAGTTAAGGGCAACAGCTCAGTACACATTGACGAGGTATATCCTACACCGATGCGGCTTTTTTTTTAGGTACAAATAATTAAAAAGGATTTAAACCGACTAGGATAAAGTATTTGTACAACATACGAACAGCATTCAGAAAGGGTGAAGGTCCACATCTAAAGTAAATAAGAAATTCACATTCGTTAGCTGGTTGCACGGGAAATAACCAATATGCATGCGTATCAGAAACTCTAGCCAAATGGATTGAAAATCATTATACCAACTACACTTTATTGGTAACTATAAATAATAACCAGCAAATATAATAAATTTCGATAGATAATTCAATTTAGCCGACTTGATCGTACTTTAATAAAATGGTGAAGATCATGTTCCAAAGACGGATTAAAAATTTCGAAGAAATTTTTCAAAGATGGCCACTGGACAGATGTAAACTTCTTGAAATCATCTGTAGCAAAAGACGAAATCTGTAGTTAAACTTTCTGACAAGACACTCCTCCCACAGATGAAAAAAAATATTTTTTTCATCCTAAAAAATCTTGGATTACTGAACGGAAGTTATTATTTTGGAATAATATAAAAGCATCTGAAACATCCAGAGATTTAATTCATGACTCCTCAAATAACTTTATATAAATATATGCAATATTGTTAGTATAAAATTTGTTTAACCATTATTTCGTTTTATTTTCTTATTTATTTATTTTTGATAACTTGAGGAAAATAATCTTAAAAATATATTTAAATTTTAAACCCCAATCCAGAAGACAAGGGAACTCCTGGACCAATCAATAGAAGAAATTTGCCTTCGTGGAGGACTTTTTTGATGGAATTAACCCGCATTTGCGTTACATGGAAAGGAAAACCACGAAAACATCTCACGGTTAGCCTGACAGCAAGCGGACTCTAACACATGATCCGTCTGCCACTGAGGATATTTTACGTCAGCACTGCGCCGGTCACAGAATTTGTATCGACCAGCCATTGCTGGGATTCGAACCCGGTTCACCTCATTGGAAGGCAAAAGCTCCATCTCCTAAGCCACCACGGCTCAAGAAAAATATTGGGGAAAAAAATTTTTTGAAAATAAATAAATGAAAAAAAAGAAGAAAAAAAACTTCACGTCGTTGCAACAACCTGCGGTGCATGAGCAACTCACAAAGGGGGTGGGGGTGGAAATGATGCGTCCAGTTGCGCTGATTTTTAATCTGTTATAAACTCGCCAAAGTATTATCGATAGGAGAAAACCATCGTAATTCCTAATTTGTTTAAAACTTACAGATTAGTAAATTTTTTTCACAATATTATTAATGCAATATTAAGGTACGTGTATAACTAATTTGAAATATTTTTAATTGATAGTATTAAAACAGCAAGAAAAATAGCTGTTAGTTGTTTAACTTAAAATCTTTCTTGAAGAACTTACGATTGGTTTTTCAATTACACGGCAGAACAATAGTTGACTAAATATCAAACTATCATGCAATGAAATAAAAATTTTAATGTATGCCTTTAAAAATTCCAATGCCATTAGACCGTTATATCGTAGAAATATATGGCAATCTTAATACAATGTCTAAATGTACCAAATTACCTTACTTCTAGACTTGGTTATACCATACTACGTTTCAACTTGTTCATTCAATTATCTACGAATCAATTTATTATCTTGTTAAGGTTGCAATATTTTTGCACCGTTTAAGTTACGGTTATAATGTTTCTACATTGCACCATTTTTTTCCCTAGGACTTTACAGATTTGCAGATCTGGTGTTCTATGCCAGTAGAAATCACATCCTCCTCATATCAAATATTCGAATAATTTGGAAATTTAAATTAGAATTTGTATTAATTAAGTTATTCATAATTTTTTTATGTATTTTGAATAAAAACTGCAAATATTTTTTTAAAAAATTTCCTTCTAAAATCTCAATTGTTCAGTTTAGAAAATGTGAAGCTCCTTATGTACCTGAATCCTGGTTCTATTTTGGCGTAATCTTAATAATTCCAGTCGTCTGCTTTGCTTTGATTCTCTGGATATGGAAACAAAATCCTATTGCGGAACAGTGAGTATTCAAACTTCTTAATTTCAAAAATCAAAATTGTCTTATTGTCGCCAAATTTCACTTTCATTGAAATTATTTTTCTACAAAGGCATAAAAACAATTGATGCATGAAAAATATTTTTATTGAAGTTTGAAATTTTATTGATTTGTAAGTTTATAGACGTTCTCAAGATCGAAAATATAATATTATTATTATATTTTATTATATAATATTATACTGAAAATATAATATTATACTGTTATTATTTGTATTACGCCTAATAAAACATTTCAATATTTTATAACTAGTATAGTAAACTAGTATAGTAAACTAAACTACTTCAGAAATGATAAAAATGCCTAAAAAGTAAAAGATAAGATTAATAAAAAATATATATTTTAAACATAGGTTCCCTTACAGCATGCGTAGTAAAATAATAAGTTTTAATCAAAAGTCTTGAATCGAAACACTCATCACAATACTTTTTATCGCTTTAATCGTTAATGATTTATGATGTCTAGTTTAAGTACACTCATAACAAAATATTGTATTATTACACGGGTATTTGACTATTTTTTTTTAATTTTATAATTACATTAGACTATTTTTTTAGGTAAGCGTGAATTTATCACTCAATAAAATATGAATTTAATTCAATCATCTCGATTTTTTTTAATTAATTTCATTGAGTTATGCATCTTCCATTGCAAAGACTGCTGTTATTGTTATTGTAGTTAATTTACGTCGCACTAGAGCTGAACAATGGGCTATTGGCGACGGTCTGGGAAACATCCTTGAGGATAGTCCGAAGACATGCCATCACAATTTTGAACCTCTGCAGAGGGGATGGCACCCCCGCTTCGGTAGCCCCACGACCTGCACGCGAAGTCGAGCACTTAACGGTAGAACAGTTTAACGAGGACCAATACCGCACACCCTCGGTCCCTACGCAGACTAATCCAAGAGGTCACCCACCCGCACACTGACCGCAGCCAGTGATGCTTGACTTCGGTGATCTGCTGGGAACCGTGTCCTAACGATCAGTCCACTGCGGGACTTGCAAAGACTGCGTTAAAATACATTATGTCTCTTTTAGTGGTGCTAGACAGCGCTGTTTTAGAGTGCGTCTCTGAAGTTCTATTGTTGTAACAAAAACGATTTGCTAAAAAGGATGTTTCATAGTTTTATTTATTAAGTTTACCATTTGAAATCAATTTCTATAGGCTAAACTAGAAAATAATTCTTAATGTTCTTGAGAAGATTATAATTCGAGGTTATCAGAAGTGTCTATGATAGATAAAATTTTGAAAACCTTTCGAAAGCACCAAAGTTAAATACATATTTTTAAATAATTATCTCTAAATAACTTAATATATAATTGCTCATATTTAAATAAGTTTATCTTAAACTACATTTCTGTACGTCTACATTATAGAACAGAGATTTGTTGTACACGTACGTTTGTTGTATTGACTACATAACTATCAAATTATATTTTATCTATACTTTATTGAATGGCATGTTATATTTGATTACTTATTAATAAACAAATATATTATCTTCATTTTGTTAATTTAATTTTGATATTTATTTTGTTGTTGAACAATGTTTCATTGAGTACAATTCCTTTAAACTATCTTAATATCACGCTTTTTTTAGTAGAATCACCCAAAAAAAAAAAAATTGTCTATAAAACATGGGTTTGCCAGCTAGACGATTGCGCATTATTTAATAAAAAAATAAAATATCCAATATTGACGTTTATTTATTACCTTTTCCACGAAAAATATTTTTCTCTCCAAAACAAATGCAATATAAAACTCTCAAAATGGAAAAATATGGGAACAAAACTATCATTACTACAGTATAAAAAAGGTCATCGACTTAAAATATTTACATTAAAAATATCCATTGTTATTAAAAACTGAGAATATTATTTTGATTACTATTTATTTTTTCATCTGACAAATTCTCTAGTTCTCGACAAATTCATTATAATTAGATGTTTAATTCTTTCAATAGAACTCCTGACAGTTAAAGAATAAATTCTTTACATATGAGTCAAGTAATAAAATCTCGTCATGGCGGTGTTTAATTTCAGTTAAATCTCCTGTAATATAGTAAATACATAGTAATGCAGCATTTCATTCTGTTTAAATTATTTAAACGTAATATTTCAGTTATGAAAAGAAGAGAAAGTTAAAGAGAGCGTCTTTTACACGAAGATCTCAACACGAAGAGACACTAAATCCTAGGTTTTATGATGTAGACAATTGTGATTTTGCTGTGCAGTCTGCAACTGAAAATCATTACATAACCGTGCCTAAAGTTCAGCTAACGAATGAACAGGGACGAAGGATGACTTTAAACCTCTCCGATACATTGCTGTGTGGCGATAATGCATCTGACGATGGTAAGTTAAAATTTTGGGGGGGGGGGAATTTAAGTTCTATAATTTTAATCGTTGGTTTTGTTGAAGCAGTAAGAGTTAGTTCAACCGACTTTGCTTAAATGAAAGAGAAGGAAAGGGTTAGGTCATTTCGAACAATATATAAAAACATAAGAGCTCGAGAAATAGAGTCTCATAAATGAGTTGACCCGGGTTCGAATCCCAGTGATGGCTGGTCACTCGGCACCCATCTCGCACCGACTACAGTGATAACGTAAAATATCTTCAGTGGTAGACGAATCGAGAGTTAGTTTCCTTGCTGTCAGGTTAACAGTGGGAAGTTTTCCTCTTCATGTAACGCAAATGTGGGTTAGTTCCATGAAAAAGTCCTCCACGAAGGCAAATTTTTTCCAATACTTGATCCAAGAGTTCCCTTGTTTTCTGGATTGTGCTAATAATTACAGAAAGCAATATCCAGAAAACATCGAACTCCTGGATTAAGTATTAAGAGAAATTTGCCTTCGTGGAAGACTTTCTGACGGAACTAACCCCTATTTCAGTTACATGAAGAGGAAAACCACGAAAACCTCCCTCATTGTTTTATAACAGTCGTTGAACAGCCGATCCAATTTTATGGGTTTACGACCACTAATGTTGAACTCCGTAGCCTTGTAATTTGGAACCCAATCCAGAAGACAAGGGAACTCCTAGATCAAGTATTGGGAGAAATTTGCCTTTCTGGAGGACTAACCCGTATTTGCGTTACATGAAGAGGAAGATCACGAGAACCTCCCACGGTTAGCCTGACCGCAAGGGGACTCTAATCCATGATCCGTCTACCACTGAGGATATTTCACGTCAGCACTGTGGTCGATGGAATCGTTTGGGATTTCAGATGTGGTCACGGAATTTGTATCGACCAGCCATCGCCGGGATCGAACCCCGGTTCACCTCTTTGGAAAGCGAGCGCTCTATCCCCTGAGCCATCGCGTCTCTCCCGCATTCTTTAAAAATACTAGAGAAAACGTCTACTGATGTTGCTAGTTTGTATGTGACATTTGTAAAATAAATTTGTACAGAAGCATTTACTAACGCTCAATCCATAAAGTAATAGATTCGATAATCTTAACGGTTGATATGATCAGTGCTAAGTCATTGTCACGTATTTCGAACAATTCTTTAGTATTCAGTTTAATTTGAATTTAGTTTAAATTGAAAAAAAAACTGTCAAAGAATCTCGGGAAATGTCTAAAAAAACTAGTTTATGGTGTTAATGTGTTGACACTGAAGGCTGTTTACAAGTAGTACAAATCGTTACTTTTTTTATTTTTATAGAACTCTTCAACAAGATGTTTACACATAAAAGACGAAGCGATATACTCGAATTGCAACGTATGCAAAGGACAAACAGATTATTTTTAACCAATGAGGGAGAAGATAATGCGGCCTTTGAAATGGATCAAGAAAGGAATGCTGAAACGGAACGAAGGCAACAGTAAGTACCATATTTGAAGAAATAAGTTCAAGTAAACATGCAGGGTTCCAAAGTCTGGATGCAAATTTGGGGACCCGCATTTCACATATACAAAATCCCCCCACCCTTAATATATATTTTTAGAATCCTTATCAAATATGATGGTAAAACAATACGCACAAATTAATATTTAAATGAGAAAGAAACAAATAAACGCTATCGAAGTATGAAGAATCACAAATAAGTAAGGCGGGACTGAAAATATCAAAACATGTTTGATTGTTGATAGAAAACGCAGAGAATTTGAAAGATGATTATTAGAAACATTTCATTCCAGTTCATGGGTGCAAGTTGGAAAAAAGGCCAAGACTGAAAATTTTTTGACTGAAATACCTAACATACGCAATACTCCCTCGACATATGCAAACTATCTAAGAAAGCTTTACCATAATACATCAAGTTTAAATACTGTACAAAAAATATTTATTCATCTGTCTTTTCATAAAATAACAACAGGACATAAGAAAGTAGACCAATAACGTAGACCTAAAAAATATTTTTATGGACAGAAAAAAAAATTCCGATTTCCGTCTTCGAGTCAGTCTTGTTTCCGTCTTACTTCCGTCCGCGGACATTTCCGAAAGACGGAAATCCGTCCTGGGGACGGAAGACTTGCACCCATGTTTCAGTTTCGTACTAGCTTTAATATCGGCCCCTAATCTGTATGCTCTTCTTTTACTTCATTTCTGACAAGGATTCAAACATAAACATTAAGGGCAGTCACTAGGAAATATCTTATATACTTGGATAATCATATGTGGATGGAACGTTTATTATTATCAATTTTTGTATAAATTTTTAGTTCTATTTATTTATTGATTATTCTGTTGATATTTTGTTTATTTACTTGTTAAGAGAGCCATGTTATATGAGGTTAAAACTGTGTGATTGATACGAAAGACGTATACATACAGAGAACCAAAAAAATAACACAATCAACCTAAGTCAAGGGGCTAAATTTAAACTTACTATTTGCAATCAAATTCAAAGGTAGTGAGTAAATTTCCTTTTTTTTTTTTTTTTTTTTTTAAAGTTAAATTTTAAGTAACTAAACATACTATAGTGCTTTAGTTAAACGGCGCATGGAAGAGTTTTGATATCAAGCAATTGCATTTTTCTTCTATTTAGAACAACAAAAAAAGTCACCCCCCACTTTTTATCTCCGTAGTTACTTCTCGAAACAATGAAATCTTAAGACAACATTATTTTGATTTAATATTTTTATTGCTATAAAAATGTTTCGAATTTTAGTTTCTACAATATTTTATGGCTTCGATCATGAAAAAGTTCTTCATACCACATATGTTAACGATTTAAAAAATTTTCATATTTTTCAGAAATGAACAATTTTTAAACTTAAATTTCATGCTGTGCTCTAAATAAAAAATGTCGCGATGAAGTGTTCGGTTGTTTACGTATTAAGAGACAATCCAAATGGTTCGAAGAGATGACTTTATAATATGCTAATTATTTAGTGCTAACTGCTGATTAAAGAACGAAATCAGAGACAAAACAAACTTTCTCCCGATAGACGAATTCGGCATTTCATTTTATTTTATTTTATAACCGTCGTTGAACTGCCGATCGAATTTTTTGGGTTCACGGCGACTAAAGTTCAACTTCGTAGTCTTGTAATTTTTGACCAAATCCAGAAGACAAGGGAACTTCCGGATCAAGTATTGGGAGAAATTTGCCCTCTTGGAGGACTGTTTTATGGAACTAACCGGCATTTGCCTTACATGGGGAGGAAAACCAAGAAAACCTCCAACGGTTAGCCTGACGGCAAGGGTCCCTAACCCATGATCCGTTTACCACTGCGGTTGGTGCGATTCACATTGGTCGCTGGGATTCGAACCCAGTTCACCACATTAGAAAGCGAATGCTTTATCCCCTGAGCGATCACGGAACTGAATTCGTCATTTAAAATAATAGACATTACGACAAATTCGGACCTAAAATGTTGGGGGTCACCGTCTTCTAGAAGATATGGTCTCATAAGTTTGGCGGTCTAACGTTTGGGCCCCCTAATGTTAATTTTATTTCCTGCATATTTCGCCGCATTCAAAAAAAAAATTTAAAATATTTAGCCCAAAGATAATAAATACCCAGCAAAAATAAATTTTTAACAATTATTTATTAATATTTTTATTTATCTAAAAATGATTGCAAATATATTGACTAGTAAGGTGTATAAAATTTTACAATCCAACAATCATTTTACAATTATTTTAATCAGTGTAATATTAAACAAAACGCAAAATTTAAACGAAATCGACTTATTTCTTTCCGAGTTATAATATTTGAAAAATAGTTGTACGTGTAGATTTTAAATTTTAAAGAATAAGGCGAATGAATTTGTTCAAATTTCGTAATTTGTCATTTAAAGTTACACAGTTTGAAATTGTGCTAAGATTTATAAATAATCAAATAGTTACTGCTGTGAACAATTTTTTCCAGATTGAGTTGGTGCCATAATTTGTTTTGTGCATTTAATTTTTATTTAAATGTTAACCAAAAATATACAAGATTTCCTTAAATTTTTTCTGGTTGTTTTCTTACTTAATAAATTTTGGATTAAAAACGAACACAAAGTAAATTATTATCTAACTGTTTATATACATACAAAGAAGTGTTTTAAAATTATGCAACGAAAAATTATGCTCAGAATTGCAGCAAACAAATTGTTTAATTCTAGTAAAGATTTCTGTATTAAAAAAAAGCCAACACTTGGCGCATCAAGCATGTTTTATTTTTTTCATTTTTTAAAAATAAAAAAAAATTTCTTATTACGTGGTTAATAGACATGCAATAATATACAGGGTGATTCTCAAATAATACGACACAAACTTAGAGAGGAGGTGGGGCGGCAGATCATAAAGATTAGGAATCGCATTAAAAACCATGACCTAAAATTTCTGTTTTCTAATAATATTGTCGCAAATTGCGTTTAAATTTGGTTCAGTATTAGATTTTTAATCGTAATTTAATGATTTAGCGACTAATTTGATAACTTCACTAGATCGCTAAATTATTACAAAATAGTTTTATCTGCGTCTATTTGAACGCAATTTTCAACAATTATTAGAAAACATAAAATTAACAGGAAATTAGATAATTTAACTAAATAAAAGAGCCTGTTCAAAGGCATACGTAAAAACAGTTCATAATATAGAAGCGCTCCTAGCGCCTTACGTTGGCACATCCGCTCATGGGTTCCTTTGAATTCTTAATCCCTATGATGTGCCCCACCTCCCCTAAGAGTTTGTCTCATTTTAAAATCCCTGCATTCGTCATGTGCACTCTGCATTTCGTCATGTTCTTAAATCAGAAAGTATACGGTAAAGAAATTCTGACAATTAAGAAAGATTTTGTTTTTACTTTATAGGGAAATATATCTGCTTTCTTTTATTTTCTTAGTGGTTAAAATTTTGCTCATTCAAATATTAAATTTCAAAAAGAATAATTTTATTCTTACATATAATATTCTTGTTTTTCAGTGACGATAGGACAGATCATACCTACGAATCACTCAGATCATCAGCAAGCTTATATGAGAACACTAGATTATAAAAATGGTCAAACGCAAATATATATATGTATATAAAAGAATGCCATGGTGCTTTTAAGAAATTTAGTTCCCTTCAATTATGAATAAAACTTAGTTAAATCAAGTCCATAAAAACTGTTTTAAAGACATTTGTTAGTTATGTTATACATTGTGCTTTGTGATTGTTTTAATATTTTTATTTAATAAAGCTATTTTTCAATATGAATTTCAAGATTGATGTCTAAAAGCACACAAAATCATAATTTTTAAGGACACAAATATTTGGTGTCATTAAAACGGTTAATTCTCTCATAATATAAAGGAAACAAAATTCGCATTCAAAGAATCGCCGTCAGTTTTTTGTATGCTATTGGCGAATAAAATTAAAACAGTTTACGAGAAATTACTAGAAGTTATTCGAAAAAATCAAAATTCTTCATACATGTTTGTTTTGTTTTATTTTTATTATATCAATTTTACTTTTAGTTATGAAATCTAAAATCGTCGAAAGTAACCCATAACTATTAAGTAGACAAAGATAAGATCGAAAGTTCGTTAAATCGTTTCACGCAAAAAAATATCAATCTACTTCACAATTCTTTGAACTGAGCTTAGTATCATAACATATTTTGATGTTGCATTCATTCATAAAGCTACACTCTCTTGCCAACAAAGCAAACTGCGTTATTCTAACGCTTCATTTTCTTTTAAATAATCGCACTCTTTTTTGCAGCTTTTTATATAATCCCTATCTGAACTCGTCATTACATAATCATTCAAAGACATAACATTTCTGAAATGAGTAACTTAACTGAAATTAATAATAGAACACTTACTGTTACACAAATCTTTCAAAAACAATTGTGGTTAACTCTTTGTGTTTACTAGTATTAATATGCTTCAAAACATCTTGCATAAAAGCACATTCTAATGAAAACCATATAAATAGACAACTAGTCATAGACGAAACCTCTTAACTGCTTCTGTAAATATTTGCCTCGAGTTTTGTAGGGATTCAAAACTATGAAAAAGTTCGAACAGGTTCTGTTACATAACAAGCCTTGCTTGGAGAAGAACAAACAAGCCTCGAAACCAGTATATTTTTTTAGATTTAGGACAAAGTTGAGATAAATATTTAGGTTTTAGCTGTAAGCTTAGGTTTTAGTTAGTAGGCTCAATAAACTTCGCTACGTTCAGTTGATTAACTATCTGTCAAAGCCATAAGTCGAAAGGGAAACTGGGCTTCATCTCTTATTGCTCCGTTTTATCGGTCTTAATAAAACACTATATAGAATAATCCATCAAGCTTTTTTATAACTATTAACCACAAATTTTGCAATCACAATTCAGTAAAAAATATTTTTTTAAAAAAAGGATGGATTCTCTCATTTCCGTCTAATATGTGAATTTCTATCCATCATATATATATATAAAAGAGAGAGAACAATAAAACAGTAAAATTAAAGCTGAAATATTTATTAAGAAATTGATGAATAGACAAAAAATTGACAGTATAATGAGAAGCTTCATAATGTTTTCTGAAAATAGAGTATTAAAAATAAATAAAGTATATTTCCCTTTGCATATTTCAAAAAAATTGTTAAAAGAAAGTTAAAATGTGAAAACTCATTACCTAAGCAAAAACATTAATGGAAAACAATTCAAATAACAAATTATTTGAAATTTCAAGAACAAATTATTAATTATATTCTTAAACATTAATTTAGTTTAAACTTTTTTCATTTAACACACTGACGGTCCTGCACGTAAAAAGTCACATTTTAACCAGTTTTCCCATGTTAATGGATAGGGGAACTGTGTGTAGCGGAGAAACATTCTCCAAATTTTGCCCATTTTCTTAACCACCAGTGGGTTAAGCAAGTAAAATAATAAAGAAAGATATTTTAAAAAATAGGATAGAATAAATAAATAAAATGCAGACACCTATTGACAAGTTAAACTTTAACAACAACAAATAAATATATATTTTCACACATAAAATAAATATAGAAGTTTGAATAATTGAATAGATAGATAAAAAAAAGTTTGCTAAAGAAAACAAGCATGGCATGCACAAAAGCTTAAATATAATTAAATCCATACAAGTAAAAATGAAAACAAATTGTTTAAAAAAATAAATATGGCACATCTTAAAATTGCAAAAATCACAAAATTCAAAAATGTAAAAAGTAAGCTGCCGAAATTCATATTTCATTATTGAAATAAGAGTTGACTAAAACAAATTATATGAAAGGAAATCTCTAAAACTCTATAATATGTACAAACATTTTAGCAGTAATTTACATATTTATATAGAAATAAGTTACATTTATCACAAATCAATGCCTATATAAAGCTCGGTGGTATAAATAAATAAACATAAATACACAAAAGTCAACTAGAACATAGGTCACAAGACACATGAATAAGGTTAATACTTAAAATAAATAAATTCCGCCAGCTGAATATTCGACAAAAAGGTCAAATAGCAAATAGGGGCCAAATATATGTTACATCCCTTAGTTAATATTTATTAAAAATAGTAATAACATTTATTAAATAGTAAAAAAATTTTATAACAATAGTTAAAGAATAGTTACAACTGTTGTGTCATAATACATAACAGTTGCAAGTATTTCTTTGAAACTTTATGGAAAGTAATATTTTGGAAAGTAGCAAGTATTTCTTTGAAAAAAAAATATTTGATAAATGGTAGGACCTTTATAAATAATTAAATAAAAACTTAAATAAGTTCAATTACTTATTCATACAATTTTAATACCTATTGACAGTTTACTTCATAGAAAACTATTGTTAGATCATAGGGAATACCAATTAGTTTAAGCAATTTTAAAATTCAGTGAATAGAAAAAAATTGACATACATCTGAGTGCAAAAAAAAAATTTCTGTTCAGAACAGTTCAGTTTAAAATCTCTTTCCATAATCACAAGTATCAAAACAAGGATAAAAAATCTTTTTTTTCAACATTTATTTATATTTTTTAAAGTAATGAGGAAAACAATTAAAAAATAAATTTTACAAATAGGTCTGTTCCATTTTTATACAAAAAATATCAATAATTGATGTTAAAAGCTATTTTTTTAAAAAAATAGATATTCTATTAAAAAAGTACATCACTATTTATTTTACTGAAAAATTTGATCTTGGTTATAATATCAAAATAGAAAACCATTTCATAAAAAGAATCAGTAAAATTTAAAAACTAAGATCACGTTTGTTCAGGAAGAGGCAGAAGTTGAATAACTTCGGGCCACTCATCAAGAGGCCACTGTCCATTTTCCATCACATTTGAAGGACTGCTTTTCCAGTCCCAAACTTTAACTGGCTCATACCATTTTTGGCCATAATTTGCTTTTATGTAGTCTTCAGTTTGACAAGGAATTCTAACTTTAAGTTCTAAAAACTCAGTCCAACAAAGTTCAAATTTTGAAAACATATATCTAGAAACAATATTGTTTTTAGTAAAATGATCAAGAAAAAGATCACTATTTGACTTACTATAAATAAAATACAATCAAAAAATGTAATGATCACTCATACAACAGAATTTAAGTGAAGTAAAAATTAAAACGTAAGACCTTACTAACTTACTTTTATAGTTATTGGTAAATTAACTTTAATTGGTCATTTAACTTTCATAAGTAATTTAATTATTGGTGTAATTTAACTTTTTTATTAGCATGTAAGTAAATATTTTTTTAGAATCTTTGCTTAAATGTAAGAGAAATATTTTATAAACAAATTTCTTTTTCAACTTTAGTAAATATTCATCTTTTGAATAAGATGTATTTTGAATTTGATGTGATTAAAAAAACATGAAGATTTTATACTATACTAAATTTGATTCATTGTAATGCTTACTTGAACTTTTTCCCAGTCCTTGCTTGCGTGCCTCCATTCCACACATATGACTCCTCTTCATAGAAAAAAAAGATATCAAGTTTAAGGTCATTATCCCTAAAAGATAATTCATAACTATCTTCAACCTATAATTTTAAAATACAGATTTTAAGTACTATACATTACTAATCATTTTTTAACAAAACATAAAATTTACTAAAATAAAACTTTAACTAAATTTTCATAGAAGCAAAAGATAATATCATCCTAAAATATTTCAACATATTGAGAATTTTTTCTTTTAACTCATCTATTAACAGATAATATTGCATATTTAATGACAAATAATATATAACAAAAATAAAAAGTAACTATTATTCCATTTATTAATTCCAGGAGAGATATGCTTCCTGATTTTATTTTTTATTTTAGTAGTTATGAAACAAAAATATAAAAAAATTCATACATTATAACTTTGTAAATTTTTACATTTTTTTAAGTTTGAACCACATAAACCAGCCATTTAAATTGAAAAGAAATAATAATAATAATACATATACCATTGGGAAACACAAAATATATTGTCCTTCATTTCAAATAATTTTAAAAATATCAAGCTAAGGCAGCTAGATTTACTTAATTTACTGCTTTGTTTATCCACACTGATGTAAGTGTGGAATAACATTTTTGAAAAGCAAAAAAAGCTAGTCTGGATTAGCAAAATAGTTTTATTTTGATGTAGAAAAAAAAAACTATTTTGAAGCAGAAATTTTTGATTCTGCAATAGCCAATAAATAGTCAGCGGCAAGAAGAGAAAGGATAATTCTCTTTAATGAAAAAAAGTATGATATAAAATTTATTGTAATGGTGGCAACTAAATACCATTATATCAAATAAAGAAAAACATGTTTGAAAAAAAAGTTTTAGTCTTTAACAAGCTAGTAGCTTTATTTTATCTGATGGCTTTTTTTATTATATTAATGATCTCTTTCAATGATTGTTTTACTAACTAATGAATCAATGTTCAAAACGATTTTTATTATAATTAGCTGTACACCTTCAAAGTAAAAGGAAAACATTCTATCAATAATAAGCTCATAAAGACTAAACTTTTTTATGAAGTGTGGGGAACAATGTCTTCCTGCTAATTTACAAAAATTAACCTTAACTAACATTAACTGCTCAAATAATGCAAACAAAGCTACATTTTACCTTTCCAAATGAATGAATTAAAGGCATATCATTTGTTGAAAATAATGATATTATTTCCGGTCTGAAGTCCTTAATCCAAATACCAATATCAACATCTTTACTATAAGAAATAAAACCACATTCTCTATAGTATCCTAAAAGAATGAAATTATTTAAACATTAATATTCATTATAATTAAGAAAACAATAACTAAAATGCAATTTAGTAACATAACATGATGCTATTGATACAACACAAAAAAAAAATGTACAGAATAATAATTCAAATCTATATAAGCAATAATGATTAGATAAAATATAAATTTTAAAGCTATCTGTTGAATAGTAGCTTCAAAAATGTTATGCACCATTTTTGATAAGTTGTTAAACTTTAGCAAGGGCACAATAACAAACACTAGTTATTAAAACTACCACATGGTTAAATATATTTTTAACATAAAAAAAGGGATTTTTATTCCTAAGTTATCAAAATTCAGTTTAAATGCTTGTTCAGTTTAAATGTTATTCTCTTTAAATAATTATTAAGATTTTAAAAAAAATTGTATAAGAATAAAAATTAATAATCAGATAAGATATTAGGTTTCATAAGTAATAAATTTTTATTAAAATAATAAATCCAAAGTAAAGATTGCTATAGTTTTCTTACAACTTTATTTAAAATAATGCTCATTTTAGTCCTAATACAATTCAGTTTTTTGGATCAAATTTAAACCTATTATAGGTCAATATTGAATGTTGTATTTTAATGCTGTTTTTAATCTTTTTAAAAGCAAAAATAGAACTTTTATTTCTTCTGAAATTTAGGTACTTTACTTTTCTATTATCACTTGTATCAAGTTGCGTTGTTTCAAAAGGTTTTTCTAATTAATAAGCGTTAAAATAAAAATTTAAACAAAAAGTTCAACAATTAGTCTTATTAACTTATTGTCATTTTTGGAAGAAAAATATTGAAAACAGTAATAATATCACAATAGAAATGAATGCTAAAATAATAAATTCTAAGAAACTTATTAATCAATAATCTAATACAAATCAATGTAATACAAAATCATACAATTTAATTTAATGGATTATCAAATTCACAAACAAATGGGTAGCAGAAAGAAATAATCATGTTAAACATTAAATTTTAAAAAAATATATAAAAAACATATTATCACAAAGAAATTAATTAAAATTATACTAATTAAAATAACTAATTATATCATTAAAATTGCTAAAAACATTATTACCAAGCAAAGTTCCACTGCTCAACCAAAAAGGAATTTTCAAATGATCCAATAAAGATTTTGCTTTGGCTAAGAGCTTCCATGCTTTAGTGCGAAATATTTCAGCTTCATCACTTTCATCTCGGCCAAACTTTTCAAAGAATACTTTTGCTTGGGAGTAATTACACTCTATGAATTTACTGTCGTTTGGAAAATTCAAAAACATATGGTGTTGCAAAGGTACAAAGATTCTAATTTTATCTATTGATGCTGAATGTATTTCCATCCTAAAATAAAAATATTATTACTAATGTTAATATAAAACAAAATTATAAATTATAAAAGTAAAAAAGAAGCTTGCAGGATATAAGTAGTGAAAAATGGTAAGATGTTATAAAATATATCATTCATCTTTCTACTGTGTTGCATGATAAAATTTAGTTGCTATTTAATATATAAGAAAAAAACCAATAACTTTATGATTTATTTATTATTACAGTATTAATTTTGCCAAAATACATCAATCAAAATATTTGCACAAATGCCTACCTACCATTTAAAAGATAACATTAAAGTAAGAGGGTTATAGCATTATCATTTAAATAGCACAAAAAATTAAAATTTCAGTTTTTAAAAAAAATCAGTTTCTTTAGTTTAGGAATTGGAAGATATTACTAATCAGTCAATTTTTGTTTTGAAACTGTGTGATATGATACCTAGTTATAAAAAACAATTTTATGGTTTGTTTAATCTCAAAACTTTGCTGTTTTAAATGAAATGTAATTCATATGCATACAAATAAATTTTATAATATTTACAAATTAAGAAACTAATTAACAATTTAAGAAGCATAAATAAAATTATTTTGAGAATACTTTTTATAAAATCAACAAAATGTGCTAAACAAAGAATAAGAAAAACCACAATATCAGTCGAAGTATTATATAAACCAATTAAAAAAGTACCTTCATGTGAATGACCAGAACAATGAATTAAATAAATAACTAGAGGCAAGGGGAGGTTTATCAAGAAAATTCTAAGTTTAAAATATATATATTTGCAGGAATAAAAGGACACTAGAACTTTTTAAATTATTCCATTTAAAAACAGCAACTTCCGTCTTACTCATTGTTGTAATAAGTATTTTCCCCAGATTGTTACATTTTAATCAGTTAACATATAAATTGATTTTCACAGGGCAACAAGAAGAAATTTCGTCTCTGACTTATTCAGGAAAGTAAATATAAAATTCAGAATTAAAAGAAAAATACACCAATTTTAACAAATTTTACGCTTAATAAAAATGCAAATTACTTAAAAATATAAAATCTCAATAAAAAAAAGTAAATAATAACTGTAAAGAAGAAAAATTAATATTGCTTAGTGAAAAAAAAATGAAAAACGGAAGAAAACATTTTTAACGCTTACTTGGTTAATATATGTTTTACTTATTTAACACCAACAAAGATAGGAAATTTATATTTAAAAAAAATTATTTTGAAAATAGTCCACCAATTTGAAGATAATTTTCATTAAAAGTTTTAGTTGTGTTCAATAATATGTTTTTTTAAAAAAATATTTCAATAACTTTTTGCATAAAAAAGAAAATAAATGCTACAGCCAAATATTTTTGTAATATTCATCATTTTCATTTCGTCAAAAGGAAATTAGAATACAAGTCATTTAATTTTCAGCTTCGACTATTGAGAAATTATTAAATTACTTTCAAATAAAATGATATAAGAGGTTAACCGAGTTATTTAAAAGGATTTTCATATAAGATTTGTAAATGCTTTATTTAATATATTGAATAAATGAAGGGTCTCTCAATGCATATTTATTAAAAATTTTGTAATAAAGAAAAATATTGGATGATTTATGTTTTTACAAAAAATGAAAGAGTATTAAGAAAATAACTGTATAAAGAAAATTTTTACAATCACAAATCCAGTAAGATAAACAAGGCACTTTAAATACATTGTACAACTAGTTGACAGTCCCTCAAATAGAAACTTAGCAACTAAATAAAGCTTGCGCAGCTTAGCACTAGTAAATTGAATCCTTTTTAAATCAAATAAATAACAGGGGAAGAAAAATTTTGAAATGATGAATCTCTAACGTCATAGACTGTCGTAAACTCTCAAGAGAAAATATAATTAGTAAATGATAGAAAGGTTCAAGGACTGTAATACTGACCTATTAACAGAACAGTGCACTAACATCAACAAGCAAATTATTTGTTATCTTCTAATTGATACAAATATTTTTTAACATTAATTTTAGTAAGAGAAAACAAAAGTGGAAAGTTCAGCATTTCTTACATAATTCGATAAAGTTAAAAATTCCCAAGGCTTTGGAGTAGAATTATGTTTTTCTCTAACATTTTTTATTGAATCTCTTTTTCTTTAATTTTTACCGCTATTTTAAATATTCCCAGGTACATACAAACCCTGTTTAACTAGGTTTTGTTTCTCCATTCATTTTTTCCAACAAAACCTCAAACAAGGTTCCCCTGCAAGTGAAAATTCCTAAACTAAACCCGAAAATTTAAAAATTGCCAAACTTTTGCAATACCTTTCTAACGTTTCAATTGAAAATAATAAAAACAATTGTTCATTACACTTTTCATCTTAAAATAATATTGAAATACTAATTTCAATGATTAATCAATACATGATTTACATTCTTAAAAAACAATAAAAGCAATTTTATTCCAATTACTTTCATAAATATTAACGATCAATATTCATAAAAACATTTAAAAATTGCTTCAAATTTAATTTATAATTATAACAATTTTGTAAGCAAACGAAAAAGTATATTTCTTCTTTAAATTTTGGTAAAACATAACTAAAACTAAAGGAAAATTTACACATTTAAAGTTACAGCATGAAATAAAATGTCATTAAAAAAATGGAAAACTAAATAGAATAATTATAATAGAAATCCTTGCAAGTTTCATAAAAAAGTTCACTTATAGAGATACATTATTTAATATTAACATGACAACAAAATAAATTACACTGCAAAATTATTAAAGAAAAATATAAACAGGTACTTTGAAACCTGAAAAACAATTATCACACAAAATATACCAACAGATATCATGTCTCTGCTTGATTTTCATGTTGTAATTTAATCTCAAATTAATAAATTTCAGTAATCTATATTGATTATTTTATTATACACTTTAATTACATTAAACTAATAGCTATACATGCTAAATAATTCATTATAATTACTATGATCAAAGTTAATAAATAAGAACGGATGAAACTATGTCTAAGAAAAACACAAAAATAACTATCAAAACAAAATATTTATAGGTACTGAAAAACCAAAACTGAAGCTATAATAATAACGAAAATGCAAAATAATAGAAACATGATTTAAAACAAAACAAGAGTAAAATTAAAAATAAAAGTAAAAAGTAAGATTTATGTACACTTATATTTTGAAATCATAAAAACAGTGTAGAAATTACATTATTTTGTGAGAAAATGTAAGGAACAAAGTTATTTTACTTATCAAAAGCAGCAGATTGTAACAATAAGAGCAGGTCCTCCTTTTTAAAATCCATTTCATATAAACTGTGCAATTCTTCCTGTTTGAGATTATATCCTCCTGTCCACCAAAACTTTCCAGGTCTTTCATAAAAAAATGCAACATGAATAGCGATATGGTTGTCAGATATGATGAAATGAAGTGGAATTGGAGAATTCAACCCATGCTGTTGAAGAATTGGTTCAAATCCTACAAACTGCATGACTTTAAAACTTTCAGCTTCTAAAGCTTCAGTGAAAGAATTCTGCAGGAAAATAATAAATAGGAAAATTCAAGTTCAACTTCTTATATTTTTATTACAGCCTTTCACTGGCATAAAAAAAAATAACAAATTTAATATTAATGTAAAAATGTATGCGAAAAAATTAAGTTGTTTATATGGAAATTTAAAAATAAAATTATTTAAAAATAAAATGCTTTTTTACGATTAATAATGCAATGCTGAAGAAAAAAAGCTTTACTTAAAATTATATAAGAATTAATTATTTAATGCTTTCAAAATAAATAACTTAAAACATTTACTATAATGTAGGGAAACAATTTTTGACAGTACTTTTTAAATTAACTTTATAACTTTATTTAACTTTATGTTAAGACTAAAATAAAAAAATAAATAAAGTATTTAATAATTATTCCCTTTCAAGAACACATGGGTAAAAAGTTATAACATGTGAAAGAGAAATAATATTGCTTATTTCTAATTAAAAGCTTTGTTGTTAAACATTACTAGAGCAGAAAAAAAAACTCTTGTTGAATAAAACTATTTACAGAAAGGAAGTGAAATTCTTATGCGATGTAGGTTATCATCTTTTAACTCTGAAATCTGCAATCATTTATTTATTCAAACAATAAAATAATCTTCACATTTAATTACATAATGATTCAAAAAGTATAGGAAATTTTGTTTCAAATTTAATTTTGTAAAAAAAAATAATTATGTTCATGCATAGAGAAATAATGCTTTTACTACAAATAAAAAAAAAGTTATTAATAGGTCAACCAAAAATTGGAAAAATATAGTTTCAAAATTAAGAGAGAAATGAGAGGGAAAAAAATATTGAAATTGAACTTTTTGCAGCTTTCATAATGCTTCCGGTTGAAACTAGAATCTATAGATTTTACTGAAAATACATATAGTATCTCTCAATAGACAGGGTTAGTCCTACGTCATCAACGACGTCACTAGCTCTCCTCGTTCCAAACAAAGTTCTGAACGGAGCAAACAATATGGCGTTTCTCATGTAGTTAAAAGTGGGTGAACTAAATCTTTGAATATATTAATATAAAGTCGAATTTAACCACTAACATGGCAAGAAAAAGTGTTGCATATATTAATATTACGTTAATCTCTTTTTATGATATTAATTGGAATAGCTTATTAATTGCAAATGATTATGAAAACTTTTTGTATATATGATTGAGAGAATTTGTATTTAATATTTACCATATAAATTGTATTTATAATCTGGAAATCGGAAATTTGTGAATTTTATTATTTGGAAAAAGTTATTTCTAATTTATGTTTAATTTTTCTTAAAATATGTATATTATATTAAATCAATTTTTTTTATAATATTGAGACAACTTATTAATTGTAAATAATTATGAGAATTTTAAAACAAATTAAAAAGTTATGTAAGAAGCATGAATAAAGTCAGATAAATTAGTGAAAATTATAAAGCATTTTAGATACACGTTTTTAAAATAGCTCAAATTAATTGGTAAATTTACTAAAATGATAGGAAGTAAAAAAAAAATTATATAAACAAACGAGTTGACAGGTCTTAAAACATATTTACAACCAAATTATGAAATAAATATGGATGACTTGAATGTTACGTTCACTGCAACAAATAGAATATTACTATGAAGGTAATTTAAAAAATTTTGATTTAGACTGTCAAATGCAAATTTTATTCTATAAAAAGTGATAACAGTAACATTTGCCAAAATAAAAGCTGTATAACTAAATATGCATACATACATTAAAGAATTAAGTTTCTAAATTAAAAAATTTCTTAAAAATTTGAATTATATTTATTTGAAATGCATGCGAAATTAATATTATTAAATAAGTAAAATTTAAACATCTATGTGAATACATAGATTAATAAATATGAATGTTAAATAAAAGTTTATGTATGGGATAAGTATGTTTTAAAGAATTCTAAAAAAATTCATGTTGCACTTTCTTATCGAATAAAATAGGAATCTGAGATTTTAAGATAAATTCATATATAACACCTAAAAAAAATTGTTCCTCTCACATTTTAAAATGAAAATTAGAAATTTAAAATTCTAAAATAATTTAGCTATTCTATATATTAAAATTCTGGAAACTATACATAGTATTGACCCTTTTAACATAACACTACACTTTAACATAGCACTACACTAGTTACGTTAAGAAATAATCTAATATTAATTATTTAATAATAAGGTATCTTAATTTTTTCAAAAAATTAATGCATAAAACTACTGTTAAAAACTGATAAATACAAACAAGAAAAAATCTCAAGTCAAAATAAATCTGAGTTTAAACTAAAACTCTGTGCAGATTTAACTATATGTATACATATTAAATAAGTTAGTTACATAATTTATTCCTATTTAATAGTTAAAAACTAAAGCTTATGAGAATTAGCAGCAATAATCAGAAAATCTTAAGCAAACAAAGTTTACAATAACTACAAATTTAATCATCAGGTATAATTTAATAAACAGACATTAGTATTGATAAATACAATCTAATTATAGATTAAAAATTCATTTCTGAACGTTTTAAAACAATGCATGCCTTTCCATAACTAAAGAAAAAAATTAGATGTAGGTTAAGAATATGTAACAAATTCTAAATAAAATAAGGCATTATTATAAACATGAAACAAGAGTTAAAAATAGTACTGACGCTTAAATTTTTATACATCAAAATTAAAGATAACCATTTTGAAACTTTTTTATAGCATTTAATGCACTTAACTCGTAAAATCTACTGAATACCCCGTATAATGAAAACTACATAAATTAGGAATATGTCCCTTAGAAGCGCTATATAAATTTATTTATTTCAATAATTAACTAAAAATCTTGCCGTCTTAAATTCACATAGGAAATGCCATTGAAATGGTTCGTCCGAAAAAATGTTTGGAACGCGTTTGGAAGGAGGCGGGGTGAAATACGTCATCACTGTCCCTGTCTATTGGCGACGGTTCGGGAAACATCCCGGAGGATGATCCGAAGACATGCCATCACAATTTCAGGGCTGGATTACCCATTAGGCCAGACTAGACCATGGGGCCCCCAATGATTAGGGGCCCCTTTGAAATGGATTTTTTGAAAATAAATTTTAAAAAATTAAGGAAAGCGATGATTTTTCAAAATGTTAAGATTATTTTTTAGTTCTAATTTAATAGAATAAAGTAAAATTTAATTTATTTTTATTATAAGTATGCTTTCTTAAATGAAAAGATATATAAATGCTTTTATATTTGAGTAAATAAAAAATAAACGTGAAAAAAATTTAATCTGAGGGCCCCAAAAATTTGAATGACCTAGGGTCCCGCATGCGCTTAATCCGGCCCTGGGTGTGTTAGATCCTCAGCTTCATATTAATAGGTAGTAAAGGCAGCCTGTGAGCAATGCTGACCACTTAGCCATAATCATGGGGTTGGGCACTATATTGTGGAGCCTTAAAACCTCCATCACCACCCTGGTCCATAATAAGTTGTTGCGTGAATGCTTTTTCTTCGTCTTTTTTTTCCCTTTATAACAAAGGGTATGTGGTTTAAAGTAGAAAGAAAGAAAAAAAAATTGGAATTTAAAGAAAAAATTGCTTAATTGCAAATAAAAAAGTCCCTTTAAAAACACTAAATTTCAATTCTGAACTTGCAGTCTGAGAGCTACAGAGTTACTAATGTGTGTTTTCACTGCAAGTTTAACAGTTAATAATTCTTGAACTAATTAAATAATGTTTAAATTTTTTATTCCATCACATTGTTTGTTCTCCAAATCTTTATATTTTCAAGTTCCGTAGTGCCAAAGTCTTATAGTTTTGCGCTGCAAAACGAAATTTAAAGTATCGTAAAGGTTATCCACCAAATCAGTGATTTCTTTCACCATTTTTTAACATAGATACTTATAAACACTTAAAAAAAATAGCAAAAAATTGAAGAACGGTATCAAAATAATAAGCCAAAAAACCTATTGGCCAGCGGTTTTGAATCAGCGACCGCTGGAGCGAAAGGCGGGTTTTTCAAATGCTGAGTGTACACGGACGTATAATGGGACCTCATTCTTTCTTTCTGTTTCGCAATTTTAGTTCTTACTTTTTAACAACTCGAACATTCATATAGAGGTAAATAAAAATAAATCATAAATTTGAACTTGGTTCCTTAAATTCATTAATGAATGTTATGCTTAATATGAAGAATTTATGTTTCAATTCTTGTTTTCTTATTATGTGCAACTAACTATATTTGCAGCTTCGCAATGATTACTAGGTTTAAAAATTTTAGTTTTTGCGCAAAATATTCCTTTTCATTTAATTTATTCCGTAAATTGCGTAACTGCTTTTATTCAATAGCATTCAGTTTTTACAAAATCAAATATTATTACATATATTACAGCCGACGCTAGAAAGCTGTTAATGTGAACAATATCTTGCTAATATATAGATTAACTGATTTGGTCCACTAAAGTGCGGAATCAAGTGTTTTCACATTTTATTTTACCAAGGTAATGTGCACAATAACGGATTTAGTATCATTAAAGTTCAAGCGTTTATTTCTCTCATTTCTCTGCCGTAATATTCTCTATTTAAAACCATTTGATTCTTTGTATTATAGTTATTCAATTGATTGATTCTATCTACTAATTTACTGATTGCATTAATTTCATTCTTTAGATGTCTAATAAAAAAATATAATTATGATAATTTACGATGCACAATGACGTAGCTGCTGTTCTTGCAAAGATCTTATTTTCCATTTAACGACATCATTTTGTAGGCAATTTTCGATCAATAATGGATCGCCTTAGTTAATATTTTCATTACCAAGATTATCTGCAGAATAACTGATTTCTGCACTTTAGTTAAAATTCAACTTCAATTCAATTCATATTCAAATATTATTAAGTAAAATTTCTTTAAAGAAAAAAAAAGAATGATCCTATTTTATTTTAAAAAATATTGTTTGTTTATTTGAACCATTTGGTTGGAAGCATATTTTTCAATATTCTTTCACAATATTACATAGATATTGATTTATATAGATATTGATTTCTCATTTTGATTCTGCTGCGAAAAAAAACAAAAAAAAAACTGTTCATTCTTGAAGTTGAGTCACATTCCTTTCAAAGCATTGTATCTAAAATCCTATAAATAATACAATGATTTCAATTTAAATTAGGTTCACTTGTTATTACTTATTCCTTTGTTTTCCAAAATTATATACATAATATTCCCTTTTTAAATAAAATTCAACAGCTATCTGTCTGGTTTGGGATCCCGCAGTGGACTGATCGTTAAGACACGGTTCCCAACAGAACACCAAAGTCAAGCATCACTGGTTGCGGTCGGTGTGCGGGTGGGTGACCACTTGGATCAGTCTGCGTAGGAATCGAGGGAGTGCGGTTTTGGTCCTCGTTAAACTATTCTACCGTAAATTGCTCGACTTCGTGTGCAGGTCGTCGGGCTACCGAAGCAGGGGTGCCATCCCCTCTGCAGAGGATCAAAATTGTGATGGCATGTCTTCGAATCATCCTCAGGGATGTTTCCCAAACCGTCGCCAATAGCCCATTGTGCAGCTCTAATGCGACGTAAATGAACAATAACAATAACTGTCTGGTTTGGCAAAATATACAAGTATGAGGACACGTATGGCTCCTCGTACTCACAGAGCTCAATTATGTAATAGATTCATGACCGATAATTTTTTTAATGTATGTTTGAAATTTGAAAATGAAATTTTCAAAAGAAAGTATTTTTTTAAATCTAAGTGAGGCTCTCTGTAATAATAGGTATGCTATGCAATGAACAAATAAAGTTAAATTTTTGTGTTGCATTTATACAAACACTTGATTTTGCATAATTCGGGTGAGGGGATTTCAAATCTGCTATTAGTTTCGCTCCTTAATCTGCAGATTTTTTTTTAAAAATTGACATTATTAGTCGAAATGTGCAAATTTAAAAAGCTATATGTAATAGGAGTGTCGCATAAATGTTGCGATAAACTACTCGGTTAGTTAGGGCACATCATTAGGATTAAATATGCATAGAAACCCGTTCCCGGAAATGTCGTAAGTAGCTAAAAGGCACTTCCCTATTATGACCTGTTCAGAAGCACACGAATAGACAGTTTTCAATAAGGAAACACCCTTAGCTGCGTATTACGGTGTTTCCGCGCATGGGTTCTTCATGCAATTTTAATCCTGGTGATGTGCTGTAACTCCCCTAGAAGTTTCTCGCAATATGTACGTGAACCCCTGTTATATACAACGTTTTTAAAATTGTACATTTTGACAAAGAAATAGAATAAAAATATCAATAAAAGAAAACTGTAGTTTGTAGAGAGAAACAGAATTTAGATTTAAAATCATATGTTAAAAAATCTCATGCATCAATCTACAGAACATTAATTAATATTAAAAATACAAATAATTAGAGAGAATAAAATAATTTATTTATAAAGAAAATCAATTAACTAATATTGCATGCGTAAGAAGTCATGGAAAAGAAAATGGAAAAAACGTCTGAAAAAAAAATAGAACAATTGTTATGATATTGTTGACTAGTTATTACATCACTGAAAGAGGTAGAGGGAAAAAAATCCAACTCACACCATTTATAAATATTTATCTATCCCAGCAATTGCGTTGATAATTGGTAAACAGTAATATGACCTTTTTTATGTTTTTCTTTTAACAAATAATTATACGTTGATGTTTTGTTGAACAAAGATTGAAGATCAAAAAGATTGAAGAGGTTGATTCTTTTGTTTATCTCAGAGCTAGCGTTAATAAACAGGGCAGAAGTAACATTGATATTTCCCAGAGAATCGGAAAAGCTATATCCTGTTACAAAGATACAGTTTTTGGAGAGCCTCAAATATAAAATTAAAAACAAAATTAATTGTCTATAAGGGAGACCGAGAATAATATGGCAAAGATGCATTAAGGAAGATCTTAGTAGAGTAGGATTAACTGGATGGGAAGAAGCGTGTTGCCTGGAGAAAAAGACTCGAGGCCTTATGTTCGGCACGAAGAGGATAAGTAAGTTAGTAGTCTAACAATTATAGTTATCAAAAAACCTTAAGTTTTCATAAATTGCTAACTTACTTTCTGAAACTGGGTTGTCAAAGGACCAATAGTTCCTAAATGTAAGACTTTTTGTCCCAAGCAAATAAAATGGCAGTCAATATGGTCTTCTTCATCACTAGAAACATGTGCTCGATACAATATTTTGGGATCAATAAGGAACAAAGGAACATTGTGTTTAACAGAATGACTTATGACTTTGCTTATAGAACTCTGTAATAAAAAATATAAAACAATTAAAAATTTCATTTGCAAAAACATAAAAATAATACCATCTAGCCAGAATCTCATAAAAATATTTTGCAATAATGTATGATAAACATTCAATAAAAAAGATATAAAAAGCAAATTAAAAACTTGCTTGTTATAAATCAGGATAAAGTTCAAAACAAGTAAAAAGAAAAAATAAGTAAAGAAATAAATAAATACAGTATTTAAACCTTGATTACCCTAAATAATTCGGCTTGAATAATTAAAATTTTTCAAAAATCAAGGTTTATAATTATCACATGAATTTATCATATTTTGAAGTTATTACTCCTAAAGTAGGAGTGCACGAGCTGTAACCCAAATTTTTAGAAAAAGTATCAGGGTTTTTTTCATCATTCAAAAGGAAAAGCAAGTTATAATGTAACATCATTTCATCATGAGTGGATAAAAATGCCATAAATATTTACTCATTATTAAAAAAATACATGATGAATTTGGACAAAACAATAACAAAACTAACAAAATAAAAATACAAATTCATATGGTAAAAAAAGAAAAATAAGTTATGTTTTACCTAATGTCTTTTTATAAATGAAGACAAATTTGTCCAATCTCAAAAACTATCAACTACTATCCTTAAATTTAATAAATATTTTTAATTATCAATTAAATTCAGATCAGTATGAAAAATTTTAAAGCTTAAAAATAACAATAAATTATAATCTATATATTTCTATAAAATGAATAAAAATCATTCATTATTAAAGGATTCCAATTCTATGAATCATATTTAAATGCATAATAGAAATCTGTTTTTCTTACATAGGCTGGATCAACTTTTTCTTCCTTTATTTCCTGCAATAAAAAAAAATTTTAAAAAATTAAGATGCACATTAAGGTTCAAATTAAGGGTGCACAACTTGCATCCTAAGGGCAAAAATGTCTAGGACGTATGTAGTATATTACATAACCAGAATAAATTAAAAACAAAACAAAAACTTTCAACAAAATTTAAAAAAACACAGAAATTATAACATTAGAATTCTAAAAGTAAAGGTAAAAATTTATGAAGTAAAAAGATTTTTATCAGTATTTTAGATTACTTTTCACATTTCAATTTTTACACATAATTTTCTTAAATACAAATACAAATGCATAAATAGTTTGATACAAATGTATACATAGTTAGGAGATTTATTTAAAAATTAAAGATTTAAAGAATTCAGCAACAGTAAAAAAACTAATAAAATAATTTTTCCAATTTAAAAAATAGTTTAGAAAAACCTGCATTGTAATTTTGTACATAAAAATACAAACAATAACTTTATTTTATTTTCTTAAACAAAAAGAAAAGAAAAAAGACAAAATTTTAAATGTTTAATACAAAAATTATATGCATATTCCTTATTTTTTACTTTATAAGCCAATCTGATGTTGTTCCAATTATACTAAATTATAATACACAAATGGAAATTTAAAAAAATTAATCAAATAAATTAGAAATCAAGTAGAATTTAGAAATAATGAAGAATAAAAAAGTTAGAATTCGAAGAGATGTTAAAAACATTATGAAAGATACATTATATTTTAATTTTAAAAAAAAAATCTAATTAACTTTAATGCAAATGAGATCAAATTTTAGTGTGATAGCTTTAATGTCATATAAACCTTTCAACAAATATTCTGTAATTTTCCCAAAATTTAAATAAATACAAATATGTAAAACACCTAATAAAAAAATAATAATAATTAATAATGGAAAAGAGTAAAATTTTTATAAGCTATTATATTAGTAAACAGGCCAGTGTTTGTAAAAAACTAAAAAATTTACATAGTATTATTACACTCACTACTTTACCTTTCTAATGTTATATTCTGGAAACAGAAATCCCTCACAGAGATTCTCTGACAGAAATAATTTTTTTAAAGATTAAACGGTAAGTTTTCAAATGTTCTTTTAAAAATTTTGCTACCAGTTTTATAGTTTTCTGAGAATCTTGATTACCTTAATATTAAGACATAAAATGTCTTAAATAGATAACATAAAAACAAATTTAACAGTAAAGTAACTCTTAAATACTAAATCATAAAATATTATACATATAAATCTTAACCATATAAAATATTTATCTATAAAATTAACCATATTTAGCAACTAAACAATTGACCTACTTTTTGCAACAGTAATCTCAGTATAAAAGTTTGTATTGTAAGAATGGTGATGCTGAAAGTGCATGTTATAAATAGGACTTGATTTTTTTTCATTGTAAAAGCTTTTGAGCATCAACCTAATGTGAGAAAGAATAATGTAATGAGTAAAAATAAACAAAATAAAAAAAAAAACATAATTTTTTAAAAATTTAATCAAGAACCTATAAAGAGGGACAAATTTTTGATAGTGTTTCTCAGAAGCAGAATTATATCAAATGTTCTGCAACAAGACTTTTAAAAATTACAAATATTATCAAATCTAATCTTGCTAGAAGTTGCCAAGATTTGGCGATTATTCTGCAACACATCACGATATGGAAATCTCCCTGGAACTATGATCGCCAAGGCACTAAAAGAATTTAAAACTTGCAAAAAATTTTAAAGGTTTGCCATGCTTTTCAAGTTGGTCCCTTTTTTTATAATTATTATTATTTTTTTTTTTTTTTAGTTTTTTTTTTAGCACTGCCTAGAAATAGCCTAATTTTGACAATCATATTACTAATACGGAAATCTTCTCAGGTACAATGCTCTCCTCTGTTTTTTATTTGGTACATCTGATACTTCTTTTCTTTACAAAAATTTATTATGAAATATTTATCTAATGGGATATGTATATACTACACTATAATAGCCAAGTTTTTTGCTTCTGGCAGTGGCTCATGAGAAACTAAACAAAAATATCACAAACAAGGACCAACTGGAAAAGTATAACCTGTAGTCACCCCTAAGTAAACCTCTACACATTTGGAAGAAAAAAGAAGAAGAAAAATTTTCAGGTTTAAAATCTTAGTGCTCTAGCGATTGCAGTAACGTGATAGATCTCTTCTATTGAAAATAAAATGAAGTTTTATTTCACAGTATATTAAAAGTTATTTTTAATTCAATAAAAATATGAAATTTCATTTTCAATTCAATATATATTATACAACTAAAGCAATTACGGTCTGTAATAAACCATATTTTTAATAGTTACTTTATTAAGTCAATATAAGAAACTAAATCAGAATACTTTATTTTACTCCAATGATGGCTTAAGTTACCATTGAAGTTTCGAATTAATGTGCCGCTTCGGAATTAGAAGCAGAAAAAGTAATAATTAAACATCAATGAATTTAAAACGGCTCCATAAAAAAACTCGGAAAGAGGAAATTAAATATTAAAACCTCATAGAAATACAATCATAGTGGGATCTTGCCGCTTTATCGATACCGAACACAGCCAAATCCATGAGCACTGATTAAATCTTTCGAGCTTCATCTGGCCTATTATACACTATTGAATTTTTATATACTTTACGTACTTCAATAGATACAAAGTTTTCCATGATTTGTATGGAAGAAACTATCATTATCATCGTCTGCTCCGTTAAACATCAAACTAGATCTCCAAAAAGTTTTTTTTATTATTTAAAATTACTATTTTTCTATCTCATTTTTTGAACTGTTAATAAGCAAAAAATAATATAATTCATCAATTTAAATTTGTCGGGATTTTCGTAAAGCTTTTTAAGAAAAAAAATTACATAACTATAAGTAAATTTTTTCAACTCAACTCAATAAGTTGTCAAAGTTTGTCGTCTGGTACGAATTTTTCTTTCGGAGTGAGGTAGTAAACTAGCACGATGCTGACGTGGGAAGCTGTAATAAATAATTAATGTTTACTTCTTAAAATGAGCTATTATTTACTTGTAACTCTATTTGAATTATAATAGTTCTTTGACGTTTCATTTAATTTATTTTTACACATTAAAATGTCCCGATTTCTTCGCATTTAGCATGGCAAGTGATTCCCAAACTAGAGAAATTTTGCATGTAGTTTTGTTATGTATCATCTGGTATTGTGTTAGTTCAGGTAATGGTGTTATTTTAAAAACCATCCTAAATGATTTCCCATATCCTACTACCGTTACAATGGTACAGTTACTGACTGCTACTGTACTTTCTGGACCGTTATTTTCTGTTCTTGGTGTGAGAACTAATGTGGAAATCAGTCGCTCATATTATTGGAAACTTATCGTGCCTTTGGCATTTGGTAAGTTTTTTTCATCAGTTTCAACCCACGTCAGTATCTGGAAAGTGCCTGTTTCTTATGCGCATACTGGTAAGTCTCTTTTATTCATGTAGTTGTACTGCATTACCATAGCCAACTACATGTTCATATATTTTCAAAATCTAGTTGACCAGCATATGTGCAGCAGCAGTTTTTTTTTGTGATTAATTTAAATCTGTTTCATTAAATCTAATTATGAGCAATTTTTATTCTTAAAATTAATGTATAAATAAGTATTTAATGACTTTGTCTTATGATTAGATTAGAATCTAATTTTTCCAACTATATATGTCTATTTTTTACTCAATGTTTCAATGCTTAAAAACAAAATAAAAAATTTATAAAATTTAAGAAATTGTAAGCTCACTACCATAGCTATTTTAAAGAAAGTAAGAAACTTAAAAATTTATAAAAACTGCACTAGCAACAATTTTCATCTTTCAATTTTCCCTTCTCGAGTCATTCAAAAATGTGTTACAAGACATTAAAGTGGAGGTATCTAGATTTTGCCCTAATTAGTTAAGATACAATTGGACAAATATTGTTCCTATATCAACTGAATCAGACAAGCCTGTGTAGATTCAATATGGGCCAAATAATCAGCTTAATATAAAATATCTTTAATGAAAAATTCAATTTGGGATTTTTGTAAGTAAATATTGGTTGATAGCCAATTATTTAGTTTTTTATTTATCCAAGATTCTCAAATATTGGTCCTGCAATGAAGACAGTTCATTATAGGGTTACTATTACTTGTATCACACTGATAATGGTTCTTGTACGCTTAGAGCTTTGTTCCTATTATCCTTTCCAAAATCTGTAATAATGGGTTTTTTTTTTTTTAAGTTTAAATTACAACTTCAATTTGATATTTTATAAAATGAGTATTATTGATATATATTATTGCTTAGTATAGTTATTAAAGCTGTTCTCTTTCTATTTCTGGCTTTTGTTAGCCTTTATATTTAAACTACAGTGTGTATAATGTTGAAGACTGTCATTGGTAAAATTATAAATTAAAGTTAACTAAAAAAAATTTTAAAAAATCATCAATGAATTTAATTGTTGTGAAATTAATTCTATTCAAACAGTTCAGTTGGTATTATGTAAAATTATTTACAGCTAACTTTATCAACATTTATAGTGTTGAAAAATTTAAAAAGTTATTAATAATAATAAATTAAGCATAATCTATTCTAGGTACTGTGAAAATAGGTTTTTTATGACTATAAAAGGTATAAGTGCCAGAGGAAATTGTTAATTAGGGCAACTTTTTACTATCAACTATGCTTGACCTCTTATAATAACATTATACCAAATGTCACTGAATGTAGTTAATCTTTATATTGATGGGTGGAAGTTTTAAAAACATGTTTTGCTTAATCTTTTGATCTAATAACTTATGTACTGGGAAGGGCAATAAATATTAAAAAATAAAGATATATGATATATCTTAGCTTAATTCTGGTAGTATATGAATTTCATTTTTGTGCATGATTTTGCAGTGTTGTTCAATGCCGATTTATTGGTTATTTATTTTTTTCCAACCCATACAAAGATTGGTTATTCAGCTAATCGGATATCAATCATTACTGATGGGTATCATTATGTATTAGTTAAACATTCTTAATGATATAGGAATGAAGTAAAATAAGATATCAAAAATTTTAAAATTTTTTTGTTGAGGTTTCCTTTATATGTATGTGTATTAATACTTATATTCTGCCTTTCTTTTAACAGTTAAAGCCACTATGCCATTATTTACAGTTATATTGTCTAGAATAATTCTAGGAGAAAAACAAACTTTGAAAGTAAGTAAATTTTAATGTGCTTATAATTCGTTTAGTTGCTTTATGTTTGTTGCAAAAAAATAAATAAATTATAATATTAGTCTAAAAGATTTTATTTTGTAAGGTATGAAATTTTTTACATCATTTTAAAGAACGTAATTTTTCATAGCAGAATACAAAATTTGAGCAAAACTGGTCGAACTGTTCCTGAGAAATTGAATTTTTAAAATAAGACATTTTACAAATTTGATTTCTCAGAAACTATGGCCGATTTCACTCAAATTTTGTATTTTGCTGTGTAAAATTATGTTCTTTAAAATAATGTAAAAAATTGCATACAGTATTCATAATTTTTTCGGCTAATATCAAATAAAATAATAAAAAATATTCATTATTTTCTAAAAGTTATATTTTGCATGGAATTATCTTTGGATAAATGAATTTTATAATTTGTTTAAAATGTTCCCTAGATATGGCAAAATGAGCACTAGAGGAAATTAACATTAGGTCCAACTTTTGTACCGCTCTCCTGACCAAACTATCGAGACTATATTTCCCAGATTGCAGCTACCCCCTATATTTGGGATCAAAAATCCAAATCCGTCGAGAAATAGGTATACGTTTATTCAGAGAAAGTACATTTTTATGTCTGATTTCGCAACTTAAAATATGGCCTGCAGTAATCAATTGGCATATTTGAGGTCACCCCTTTGAACTATTAAGATTGAGTCCTAGAACATTATGATCCGATTATTAGATTAAAAGTTATTAGAGTGATATGCTTTTTATTTTGCGCACTGCATATATTAAATGTGTTAACTTATTAGTTATTATACTAAGTAACTTATTTGTTGAAGCATTCTTGAGTGATAATCTTGTTTGTTTGTTTTTTATTTATTTTAGGTTTATTTTTCCTTAATCCCAATTGTAATTGGTGTTGTCATAGCAACAGCATCTGAGATATCTTTTAATGTTGTTGGTTTGATTAGTGCACTTTTAGCTACAATGGGATTTTCTCTTCAACATATCTTTTCTAAAAAGGTAAAGATTGATTTTCTGGACAAATCCATTTGTTACTTTTATAAACTGCTATTTTCATTCAATAATTGTTAATATAAATTTCTATGTAACAAAGCTAAAATTTAAGAATCAGAAGAAAAGTTAAAAAAATACAGATGTAATAATTTTCTTGGGTAACTGATATCATTTCAGGTAATCTTTAAGAAGCTTATGATGTGTAAGCTTATGTTTGAAGGCATCATTTTTGTTTCAAAATTTTATGATTACTGCTTCTAAAAAGCAGCAGCCTCTGACATTAGGAAGATCTCTTTTAACTTTAAAACTTTGTTAATGTTGTCTTTTTATCTTGAAAAAATTCATAGTATTGTTTAGGTTTTAAAATTTTGCTTATGCTGCCCATGAAACAAAACAGAAAACATAATTTTTCTTAGTTTCTTCTTCACCACTGGCTGTTAACTAAAATTAAGCTAAGAGTTGCTTTTATATTATTACAATTTAGACATAATCTATGCACATGAAAAGGTATGTTATGCTTAAAACTAATTTAGGAATAATATACATTAAACATGCTAAGAGCTATTATGCATGATATGCTTATTTTCCTTCAACATTTTTTTAACATAAGGTGTAGTCTTGTTCTATCGCTATGGTCCTGTTATTTCTATGGAATTTTATTATGTGCATGTATGTTGTTTAGCCATTACTGAATAATCTTGCTGGTGAAGATCAATAAAATTGTCTAATGTGAGACACAATCTCAAATATTTGTTATTTTAATGTTGTAAAAATAGTGCAATTATTCAGATTGTCGTTACCAAGAAAAACACCTACGCAACAAGCAAAATTATATTTTTTACCTTTATTTAGCATAATTTAAAGCATTTTATGTTGAAAATTATAACTTAAATGTAAAAACTGTTTTTAAAATCATAAATGAAAGTACTTAGTGTATAGTAAGCCTTGATCAGTTTTAATTTATTCTGATTCTATAAAAATATTTTTATAGAATCAGAATCTATAAAAATATATGCCAAGAATTTTCCACTAATTTCATAAATTGAGCCAGTTAATACTTCATGATATATCTCTCTGTGCTTATCATATTTTTTGGTAAATTTAAAAATGATGAAACAATTGTATTGTTTGATATTTTTATCATCAAAGGATGACATTTTTGTCTTCTTTTGTTAATTTTCATTAAATATGATTGATACGTTTAATAATAACTCAAGGAAAGATATTCATTGTGTTTAATATTATTCTACACAGAAATTTGGTTTACCATTCATTATATCAAACTTTCAATATTCGTGCTTGCATTTTCTTTAATAAATCAGCCAAAATTTCCCTAAATTTGAGTTTAACAGCAATAGATCATATATTTGAACAATTAATATTCAAAAACTAAACTGTATCATCATAATCAGTTGTTAATGTTATTTTATGTTCCTATTTCACATTTTGTTATATCCAGTATTATTTCCAAATAAATTCATTATCATTTTTTTTTTTTTTTTTTTTTTCTGAGTAGAAAAGGAGAATTAAAAAAGTTATATTTCTCTCTTTTAGAATTTTTTGTGCTATGCATTGTTATATTACATGGGAGTAACAATTTGTCTGGCAAATATGAATTAAGATTTCAAAGTTAAATGTTAAAGTATGCTTACAAATTCTATCATTTTGATATGCAGGAATTTTGTAATATATATATGTGCATATATAATACATGATATTTTGAAATTTTAATTGTAAACACCACATAAATTTTGTTAAAATTATACAAACACTTTCATAATTAAATGATTTGTAAACTGAAATATGATTGTTAACAACATAATTTAAGAAGGGAGAATTTTAAAGTAGATAAACTATGAATTTTTTTACAAAATGTAAACATGTATTTATTTTATATAATTCCAAAACTATTTAATACTAGTATTGCTTTTGTTATTGTAAACATTTATCTTTAATTAGACTGATAAGTATCTAAAAACATTTTCATATAATGATTTGATTTCATTCTAGGTCCTAAATGAAACGAAAATTCATCATTTACGATTGTTGTATGTGCTTGCTAGACTGGCTCTTTTATTCTTTTTGCCAGTTTGGGTTATGTATGATTTGACTACCATCATTTATGATGAAAATTTGGTGAGAATAATTTCTTCAGAAAAAATGTTTTTAAAACTATTTCAATAAGTTTGCTATATATTTCAAATTTTTAGCTAGTTATTAATTATTTTAATTTTCTTTTGTCAACTCATATTTTAGGAATTTTGAGTTCAAAATTACCCAAAGCCTATAATTCTGAAAATAGATGAAAGTCTTATCATTTCCTTCAGTCTTGTCATTCATATCAATGGATGGAAGATTATCATTTTCAGAAAACTTGCCCCTTTGATGTCCCATGACTTTTAAGTGATTTTAGTTACTGAAAAAAATTCCAAATAATATTTTTAAGCCTTTAGATTAATTTACTGTGTTTTTTAATAAATGTAGGTACCAAACTGGCACCTATTTTAAAAACAATGCTTGTACAATACTTTTTTACTATGTCAGATACAGCTAAATTGCTATGTCCCAGACTTTTTTTTGCCTCATATTTTACTACAGTTTAACCGTTAACTGAAAATAAATTTATATGAACTACTTATGAAAATTGTGTTAAATGCCATATACTGTTTTAAAATTACTTTTGATTGCTAAGGATTTTTTCCACTCTGTTATTGTGGTAAAAATATTGTAGTATTAGATAATTTCTGTATTAATACAGAAAATATTTAATACAACAATTTTATTTGTTCTATTAAATAATTTCTGGACAGAATGGCTCCCTGAATAGTCTATTTTATAGATATTTTAAAAATTGTCATTATATCTCCTGTATTCTAAAAAAATAAAGTGTTGACAATGTAAGAAGGATGTTTTATTCACTATCTACTCTTTTACTACCATAATTGTTTTAAATTTATTGTTTTAATGTTCATTTTATATTTTTAAGGTAAGATCAAATTTTATTTTTCTGTTTTATATAAATATTTCTTCTTTTTAATTGAACATGTCCAAATAAGTTGACAATGTTTTTTTCCCCTCTCTTTTATTTTCCACTCTGTTACTGTATTCATAGTTACTTTTTTTTATAGACTTTAAATTAAATATTTCATTAAATATTAAGTTTATTAAAAGAAATATAAGTAAGTATCAATATTTGTATAACTAAAATTTAATAACATTTCAAATTTAGTTTTTTTATTAGTTATTCTTTTCCTCTTTGTTACATACCATTTATTAAGTTTTATTCCCTATATAATTTAACAAAATGTGATTTGAATGCTTTACAGTGTTAGTTTGACTAGAGTGTTAATTATTTACTGTTTCAGGTAACTTATTTTTTTATTCAGACACTTTTGAACATTAGAACATATTGCAGACTCAAATAAATTTATGTTCCAATTCAAAAAGTGTATTTAGTTTTATGGACATGAAGTATTCCAATTTCAGCTGAAATTTTTAAATAGTAATTAAAATATTTATTTTTTTAAGAGAAATATTTCCTAAGTGTTTCTCCATTTTGAAAATGGCCCTGATATAATTCAGTAACTCAAATAATATTTATAAGAATTTTATTTGTAATGTAAGTCATAGATTTAATCCTTAAATAGAAATTACCAATCAAATAAGACTATATTTTGCTTTTTACTTGCCATAGTTATTTTGCCATTATTTTGAGTGCTTAACATTGGTTACTTAAAACTACTCCATGATATCCAGTTTTTACAGTTTTTTTACAAAAAGGGTAAAACTACTTCAATTCGCTTGTTTTTGAAAACACATTTTAAAAACATAAATTGAGATTTAATAATAGTTTAATTAATAAAATGTTTATTGTTAATTGTAATATTGTTTATTGTATGTTTCTCAATTTTCTATAATTGCTTAATGAAACATCTGCAAAATCTAACTTTTGTCAGAAGCACATTGGGCAATCAATAGAAAAGTTTTGTACAATAATGTTTTTGGCAATTTTGGACAGGACAAGAAAAACCATAGTTTTTACCATTGCCATTATTTTTACTGTTATTCAGCCTACCATGGTTATAAAAATAAATAATTAGCAATAATGAATATATTCAATTAAAATTATTAAAAGATTCACATAAACTTTTGTGGCATATTTCTTTAAATTGAAATTTTTTTATAATCTTTAAAAATCTCTACTAGAAACATTTATCTAACTAAAACTTTTTTCAGAATATCTTCTAAAAAGCACCTTAGATTTCAGACAGATAAATGTGTGAAAAATATTTTAGTTACTGTAACTCTAATATTGTTTAGTTTATTACTAATTTAGGTGATAGTGTCATTACACTCCACATTTTATCCAGTCCTTATCTAAATGCAAACTCTTTTTAATGTTATTCTAGCATTTCCTGACTGTTGTAAGTTCACTACTTATAAATTTTGTAAATATTAGAACCTAAAACATATGATTTAGTTAACATATGAATGATATCTACCTGCTGCCTGCATTCATATATAACCTAGTGCATGTAGCAGATAATACGTTAAAACTCGTCAGAAAAGTTAACCGTCTGTATTTACGAACTATAATATAAAAATATGTGTGTTTAAAATTTTCATAGATAATTATAATTCCTTTAATATAATTTTTTTTTAAATTTACTCATATAATCAGCTCTTATTCACACTGCTTGGCGATTAAGTTTGTTTTAAATTGTAATTTGCAATTTTCAAAACCTATGTAGCAAATTTAAAATTCATCTACATGTAGTTTTTTAAAATTTATTTACACTATTAAAATTTTAGGTTTAGTCTTAGTTTTTGTATGTATGTAAATTAAACTATTTATGTATGTAAATTATTATGTATGTAAATTAAACTATTTTTAGTTCATGTTTTTATTTTAGACTAATATTCTTCTATTTTATTTTAGTTTCAACAAAAAAATCAGGGAAGAATTTATTTCTTATTGTTTGCAGATGGGTTGTGCAATTATGCCCAAAACATTGTGGCCTTTAGTATTATTTCCTTAGTCTCTCCTCTAACTTATTCAGTGTGCAACACAGCCAAAAGGATATCTGTTATAGCTGTTTCTCTAATTCTATTGGGTAATCCGGTGACTGCAGTGAACTTTTTTGGCATGATGTTGGCCATATTTGGAGTTCTTGTGTACAATAAAGTAAGAAACTTTTAATGCTTCATGAAAAATTTAATCTAAAATTTTTTGAAATCTATAAAAAGAACTCTTTATCCCAGGTACACTAATTTAACTGTAATTTTTAATTCAAAATCTTGTTTTTGTAATATATTTATAAAAAAATAGCTTCTTTTAGTTATTTAAAACTATTATGAATTTTAAGCATAAGTTTTATAGGTTATTCAAGTTTTTGTAATTTATTTTTTATACTATGATGTACTTTTTTATTTGCTTATAATTATGTATATACTTATATATAGTAGAACCTCGTTAACGTGAACACGTTTAATGTAAATTTCTTTTAACATGAACTAATTTTTTATTCCCTGTCAAATTGTAACAGATATAATGCTTTAAAGTATGTTCAACATTGACACTCTTAACGTGAAATATCTTTTAAGGTGAATTTGAATTTCATTACCCTTGGAAACATTTAACTTCTTATGTGAACAAAAAAAAAATTCCCCTTTGACAGGTAAAAAAACTGATCATTCACAATTCTATATCTATAAGAGTAGGTATTTCTGAATGCTTTGTTATAATGATGATACTTTGACAATTATAGCAGTCGAAACGTACAGCAAGCCATTGCCAATTATTTTGTTAGTAATCCTCTCTAATTTATGCAATAAATAAGTTCACTCATATTAGTTAGTTACTTTTCAATATTTTTTTTATTTGCTTCTTTAGAATAATAAATAGAACAGAGTAAGTAAGTACATTTTTTGAATTTAATCGTCTGAACTAAAAAAAAAAAATTCTTTCTTTATAAGTTTATACCTGTAATAACGTTATTCTATTTTTTGAAGTAATTAGTTGTATTTAATATGAGAATCTGTGTAAAGATTATTAATTTAATATAAACGGCAAAATAGAAACTTCTATTGAAATGAAATGTATATTAATTTATCTATAGATTATAGAACATTATGCTTAAAAGATGCAAATAGATATAGATATAGTCTGCGTATTGTATGATTTCCCCTTCAATTTGAGGTTAATGAGGTTTGGTCGTATATTTTTAATCAACACAAATATAACTTTATTGGGAACAAAAACGAACACATAAATACAAAGAATATATATTCGTCGCCAAGAGGAAAATCCTGTCCAGGCGACAAAGAAGGGTAATACAATAAATTTTTAAAAAAGAAAAGGGGGGATATTACAATTATAAATTATTTTGCTCATCATAAGACATCATATATTGTTGAACACTGTAATAATAGGGAAAAAAATACATGAAACTATGTAAAAAAAAATAACAAAGGTAACATACGAAATTCATTTGGATTGGCATAAGACTGGTATAAAAAAATCAAATGCTTCCTTTAAAGTTAAAAATAGAGATCTAAATTGTCAATGTTCATCACAAATTGAAATAAAGCATGCTTAAAAGAAGAATATATTTGGATGTTTTGCAACTGAAATGGTAATTTATTGTATAATTACTAATCTATATTAATAGATTTATTAATATAATCTTAAAAATACAATGAATTGTTGAATTTCAATTAATGATGAACAAACATTTCATATTAAATATCAGTAAAAGGAGAAGTTAGATATATATTTCATTTTATATGCAATAAATGCATAGTGATCACATTAAAATTTGTAAGTATTTTAACTATTTTCATAATTATTTACACATTTAGTACACTTTAAGACAGTAAATGCAAATTTTCCTGTCAAAAAAACAATTTAGGAAGTCCAAAAGTCCCATCCTGATTATGATTCTATATGTATCTGTAAAATTTTTGTAACTATAAATATTTAAAACATTTTGTTCATTTTTAGTTAAATCATAAGCTAAATTAAAAGATTTAACATTGTTTATTTTGTTTCATTTTAGGCAAAATATGATGCAAATCAAGAAAAGGTAAAAGCAACAACTCTTCCCTTTGTAAAGCAGAATGATACTAATTTACTTTTGAAGTATGACAACTATTATGATCCTGTGATAACTAAGGTATACCCACTAGAGATGCCTAAGCAAAATGGATATGTTCGTTTGCACCAAATGATGAATGGCTCACCGAACCTACAAAATATATGATAAAATCTACACTTATTTATTTTGCATTTAAGTTGATAATTTTTATGAACCCTAAAGTGAGTTATTATTGATTTTTAGTTTGCAAATTTTGTTTTTGTTTGCTTATGAATGTTAATTCATCTAGTACATTCATTCAATTTGCTTCCTTCTGTTAAATATAGTCTCAAAATTGATTTGTCAAATTATTCGAATAAATAAAATCATACAATGTGTTTTACCAGAACTGATTAATAAATAACTGTTAAATGTTTTTGCGGGATATTTGTTTATTATTTTTTTTTTTTTGATAATTTGTTTAAAAATTAGACAGCAAAAAAAGAGCAAAAAAATTTGCAAATTCTCATTAAAAATTTTAACTTTTTGAATCTTTACAATTAGAATGGCTTAGTAAGGAACTAAATTAAAGCATAGTAATTTGTAAATGATGTAAAAAGAAATTAATCTATTGATAAATAACTAAACATTTATTGAACAGGTTACAATTTATTTTTTTAGTTTCAAGAAAATCAAGTTGCTATTGTAATACTTTAATAACTTAAAACGTTTAACAGGTTAAGGGTTTTTTACATCAAGAAACTGATTCTCAGTGTTATTCAATGGGAAAATTTCAACCCACTTTTTCCTAGGGGTTCAGTGCTTGAAGGGTCAATATGAATTAGAATGAATTAATGTAAACTGTTGCTAAGAAAAACCCTAATCTCTAATATCTATTTTAGCAAATTATTTTTTCAAATTTCTTTGTTCTTTATTACCAGAGTCAGACTTACTAATTAAGGCTATTTTTTTTACCTCAATGAGCAAATTTTATTATAAATACTAACTGTAGTATTTGTGTTTTATTTGATGTTATGCATATTTATCTTTTCTTTTTTTTTATTTATTCATTTAATTTAAGCAACAACAAAAAATTTTATAGTTTTTCTTTAACTCCATTCATTACCAAAAGATACATGTGTAACATTTAGTTGGTTATTATAAACAGAACCTGGGTCCTGTAGGCTTGGGAGATAAACTAACTATCTTGAATAAATACAGTGTTTCAAAAGCAACAACTTGTTTCTAGAGATATGAGCTTTATTTGCATTACTTGTCAGCCATGTGTCAAAACTCCATCACATTTCCTTGGAGTATGACTCTGCATGTCAGCGCACAGATACCATTGTTCAGATCAGTTATGTGAAATACACAAAGTAAAATGTGCAGAAGTCCCCATCTTGCTAGAAAATTACGAAAAATTAAGGAAAGAAGAAAAAGTTTGCTAGCTTATTTCAAAAAATGAGTTCTTATTTGAAACACTGTTATTTTCCTGTACTTTACTAAGTCTTCTCTATTAGTTCAAAAAAGTTTCATACAATAAACCATGTTAATAGCATTTTTTTTTTTTTTTAATTTTTAAAGTGAGCTTTTTTATTGACTATGTTTGCTATAGATCATTTTATTTTATATTATATACATTATCAGTATTTCAGTTAGTAATGTTGTTTTCAAATTTTTTTGAACATTTGATTTTAATTTTCAATAACCTTTTGTTAACATTCTAAAACTTTAGTTTCTAATTAGTACATATGTTTGTTTGTTTTTTAATAATTTTCCAACATCTTTCTTGTTATAGCAGTTTCTCTGCCTAGCTCTTTGAACAATTAAAGAGTTTAGTTATTGTTGCACATAAAACTCATCTTAATCTGTTATCTAATAATTATCACTTAAATAAATTGTTCACTTTTTCACATATTAGTTTATAAGAAAACTTTAGCTTTGTTGATTTGCAAGGTGTAGTCTAAACATTTAAATATAATACAATTTGCATTTTTAATGTTTAATATATTGTGATCTGTTTTTATGTGTTGAAAGGGTATTTTTCCTTTAACATATCATGTTTTATTTAATTCATTATTGCATTTTATAATTTATTGGTCCACAGGTTTTAAGTTATTTGATTTAATTGATATTTGAAATGTATTTTATGGTACTTTGGTTATGTATTATTTCTAATTATATAAAAAAATAAATGGTGTCACAAGATCCAATGAAATCATTGACAAAACGAAAGTCTTAACCATCAAATGCATAAACTAACGAATCAGAACTGGGAATGTTATTAAACAGAAGTTATTGTTACTTTAATGATCCTTTTCAAATGTGAACTATAAATCTCTATATAACATAAAAACAGAATACTCTAACACAGTTTTTCAGTGCTATCAATGTATTTTTAGGCAGAAAATCACATGGTAGAATCCAGTTTTCTCACATTAATTTCCATATATTTTAGGTTGTTATCAGGACAAGATTAAAACAAGTTATAAAGCTTTCATTTTCCTATAAAATATTTTTGTATCCCTAGTTTAAAGGTATTTGCCTGTAATATATTTTTTTCTTATTATATTCTGCATTTATTATGTTTTTGATTTTGGCTGTTTTCTAAATTAAGAGTAACAATTTAAAAGGTTGTTTCTTTATTACAATGTAAGCTAATATTATATTACTTTAATTTGCTACAATTTAAAATAAACAGACCTAGTTAAATCGGTGTTTAAATTTATTAACTGTTTTACAAATATTGTTTTTTTATACAAATTATATTAATGTAATATTATAAATTACAGTAGAGATAATATAATACAGAGATTTGATTAATGTCATACACACTGATACATGCCTAAATTGTATTTAATAGATCAGCCTAATTGGTAAACAAAAATTTTAAATTTCAGTTGTTCACTCACTAAATTTGTAATAACTATATACCTTTAATTTTAAATGTTAATTCAAAAAATAATTGCTATTTAAAATTATTTATGTTTATTAATAGATCTTAATTGAATCGTCAAGGAAATGTTTGAACTTGAGAGCAAGTGTAAGCAAACAGAATTCTTTCTTAGTACATATACTTTAAGTAAATAATTTTCGCTTTCCTAGAAAAAAAACTGTTTTATGCCAATAAACAATTATTGGGAAACATTCATTGGGGTTGGTTGAATGGCAGCAAACATAGTGCTTTTCTCCCTAGTGGTGAAATAATTACCCTTGCCTATTTATTAATTGTGTAGTTTTTAAAGAATTATTTACTTGTGCGAAAGTATGGAATACATTTGAACTTGTATTTGTTCATTTTACATGCTTTTAAGGTATTCTGTTCTAATGTTTTAGTTTCTGTTTTTAACTAATTTATTAGCTTTTAAAATTTGTTTTTGATATTTTTACGTATGCTTATATATTTATGTGTATTTATGTATATTATAAAGTATAAAACTCAATAAATCTTCCTAATCAGATATTATTTTATGTCATGTTCATCAATATAAATATTTTTATGGTGCTATGGTAATTTTAAAGGTATTTTGTATGATTTTAGAAAATATCTTAGTGCTTCCATTTAGTATAACATCTGCTATTTTAAATTAAATTCAATTTAAATAGTTTTTTTTAAGAGTGTAAGCCGTAAGTATTGAATTTCTGTATGTAAATTCATACATTTAATTTGTTTTCTTGACAGTTCATGTTTAATAAAAATAAATTAAGATGTTATTGATGAACAAAAGCAATAAATACTCAATTTTATAATTGTGTTCTATTTTTTCAAAAAGATAATATTAAATAAATAAATGCTAAATGCATAGAGAAACTTTTATACATTTTTTTTCATTGGAGAACACATTTTATTAGTGTAGATATATACATAATTAAAAAATTAAACTTGTTTGTTCATGCGTTGAAAAAAAAATGTGTATCAGTTGCTTGTGGTCAAAAATGCACAAAGAAAAGATCAAATGTATAATAATCATGTATTGATAATTATAAATATTAATTGCATATATTTATAGTATATGTTAATAACAATGGAAATGTATAATAATTACGATAAAAAATGCATAAAATTATACTTCCAAAATATTCCAGGTAGTTCATTTTAAAAAAATAAAAAATGGAAATGTATAATAATTGCAATGGAAATGTATAATAATTGCAATGGAAATGTATAATAATTGCGATAAAAAATGCATAAAATTATACTTCCAAAATATTCCAGATAGTTCATTTTAAAAAAATAAAAAAGTTGCTGCGACAGTTTTAAAAAGAATTATCTCAAGTCATTGTGAATGTTTTTTTTTAAAAAATTATACAGTATTTCTTGAAGGTAGAGCATTCTAAATAATTATTTTTATGTTCTATAAACTAACCAACTGTTTATTTATTCATAAACTGCAGTTTTTTATTGCAGTTTTATTAATAAAGGAAATTTTAAAGCTGAAACATTAGATTTCTTTTCAGTATTTTAATTTCAAAATCCATTAATAGGCTGTTTAATGCAGAATCTACCATTTGTTTATTTTATTAAACAAAAATAAATTTATGTTTTTCTGTTGTATTGGGGGTGAAACTATTTTATTTTACTGTCGTAAAATGACATTTCTTTTTAATTTTAATTACAAATTTAATAGTTACATGCACATTATATATATATATATAAGCACTTAAACTCTAATTAGCAATGTGCACTAAAGCAGCTGGCAAAAATCAGAGAATGAAATATACAATAGAATTAATCTAGATTAAAATTTACAAAATGTTTATTCAAATTACAAATTTTTTCTATCAAACATTATGTAAATTTAATTTTTTTTTTCAATTTTATTTATTTGTATCATTACTTGCCTAAATTGTTTTTGCCATTTTGTTGCCTGCCATTTTTGTTTTAAATTATTAACTTGTTTTTAAATAAACTAACCATTGTAATATGAATCAGTATTGATGCATTTTTGTCATGTTCATTGCATTGCAAATTATATATAAAAACATTTTTTCATAACTTAACGTTCGTAATTGTTGAACTGATGCAATTATTATATACATTTATCATGCAACTTTATAAAAACAGTTGCTGCATCTCATTATTGGTTTGTCTTAGGTTTAAATTGCTCAAGTACATCACAGTTAAATATTTTTACTGACAGTTTTTTTTTTTTTTTTTTTTTTTTTTTTAAATAAAAGTCAATATTCCTCTTTTATTTATTACAAGTTTTTAATTTATCTTCATAAATTAATGTAATTTAATCTTCAGTTATCATTAAAAAACTTTTTTTCTTATATATAATCATACTTTTTATTCATTATCATAATTACTTGTTAAAAATTATTGAATATTTTTTTAATGTGTGTTTTCTTCTATCTGTAAACTTTAAATGATACCCAGTGCTTTTTTATTTTAAAAATATGTTAGGCTTTCTGCAAAGAGACTTAAAAAGATGAGTGGTTTTTTATTATATTATGTTATTTCTTATTTTAAAATTATCTTATTCATTCATTTTATCTATGAATTTTGAATGCCATTATCTGATTAATTTTTATAAGCAACAAGCGTCACATAATTTCACAAAAGCAATAATTTTGTTGCTTTTTTAATATTTTTTTCTTTGTTGAATAAATAAATATTACAGTGACATTTAAATAAAATACTCATGTGTATCATGAGTTGTGTATCATGTGTATCATGAGTTGTGTATCATGTGTATCATAAAATTAAAAGTTGATCTGATAAATACGACGAGCTTTAAATGATTGTTGTTGGTTTTGTAGTTGTTCACTTCAATTGTAAACTGTATAACCTATGTGGAAATTAGTGAATTAAATTAACTCATATTTTTCTTATGTAGCAGCAATTGTCAGAATAAATTATGAAATACTCATACTTTCATTGTTTATTTATTTTATGTATTTATTATTTTTTGGTCCTAGTAATTGTTCTGAGTTTTTTTTCCATCTTAAAAATGCATTCCCAAATGTTCAAATGAAGCACATGAATGAATGAATCAAAATTTAATCAATGAACATAACTGCCATTATTATTTCTGTATATCATCTTTACGATATTAAAAGATTAAAAAAAATTTCTTAAGTATTCAGATTATCCTCTGATTAGATGAAAGAATATGATTGTCTTGATATGACAGTCTTTATCTCATATTTAGAGTGTTCTAAAACAATTCAAAGTTTTGAAAATATTAAAAACTTTAACCTTTAAAAAAAAATTCATAGTTTTATACTAATATAAGTTGATATCAAACACAAAGCTGAATTGATAAGAAGGAAGAGGCTACTTGACATTTTTGGAGGAGAAAAAATTAGATTCCTGAGAAATTTTTTAATTTTAAAGATCTCAATGGTTGAGGTAACAATGTGTGAGTGTTACTAGATTAAAATTCTTTATACACTTCAATGCATTTTATCCTGATTT